TGGAGGTTATTGATGGGGTATGAAGCAGAGTATTTATGTAGTATAGTGGATAAATGGTGAATGATGTGATATCAGAAAGAAATAGAATGGTTCTTTGCTATTGCCGCATCAAGTAGTTGATTGATTCAGGGCATTGGGTGAAGGTTTAAATTGTCTAGATGGCCATTTGGCCTCTCTTGTATAGTTCAAGTGCTGTGATATCATGGTGGAGATTAGTGCCGGTAATGGGGAACTCAAATCCGACTCTCAGCATGGTGAGAACAGGCAGAGGGAAATAGGAATAGCCTGTAGAATCCACACCGTATTTGAAGGGCTGCTAATCGGTAGATCAAAGTGGAAATCTAAAGCAGGAGGGGGAGAGAAGGAGGTGGAAGATGAGCAGATCCCCGAGGGAAGCCGGGGCTCGTGCCTCCCGCCAGAAAGGGAAGGAACGAAGTGAGCCCATCGTCAGTAACATCTCCCCCATCTCCCATCCGCCATCCTTCCAGGCAACAAACTTCCCTCCTTCCCTCCTCCTCCTTCTGCCCGTCCTTCTCGCCCTCCTTTTCTGCTCTCTGTCAGTTTATATTCATTCCTTACTGTGCTCTCTTCCCCTTCGGGCCTGTTTTCACTCCCTACCACTCGGGGAATGTTCCCCTCCCCTCTGTCTCTGCGTGCCTGAGCGATCGTCGCTTCTGCCTCCGCATCGTCCCTTGCACCTCCGCATTTCCTCTTCCACTGCATTTTCTTTCCCCGCCCACTGCATGGCCCGAAAACCAAGCCACCAGAGGGTCACTTATGGTATGTCTATTGTCTGAAGTCGGTCTGCTGGGATTTACTACCACCTACTCCCTGGTTACACCACGGCTGCGTTGCGCGCTTATCTGATCCTCCCACTTATGCGCCAAAGTGGACTCGAGACTGACATTCAATCTCTTCTCTCCCCTCTAGTCCTCCCTCTGCCTGATGCCCCTGGTGGGCATAGACTAGGCGTTAATGGTCTGACGGTCGATACGGACAATTCCATCCTGTGAGCTTTCCCCGTCCTCTTGCGCCAGTTGGTCCTCCGCAAACCCGGCTGCGATAAACTCCGCCCGTTCCCGAGTCAAAGCCACGCCAATTCTAACTCCACATTCTTGCAAAGGTATTCCGCTGGTCGCGATGGTGTTGTATGCTCCTGGGACCTCAACCGCCCCCTCTCCGGCGCATCGTCGTCGAAATCCGGTTCAACAACCTTCAGAAGCCAAGTCCAAGCTCACAGCCATTGGATCAACGACATTGTCTTAACTAAGAACAACTCGGCGCTCGTTTCCGCATCGTCCGATACCACTGTGCGATTATGGCGACCACACTCGGAAAATACGGAGGTGCCGCATCCTATCGGCAAACATGCCGACTACGTCAAAGCCTTGGCAACCCCCGGTAATCACTCCTCGTGGGTGGCATCAGGCGGCCTGGATCACAAGCTCTATCTATGGGACCTGAATGGTGGCGGTGAGGTCCTTGGCATCGATGCATGCGGGGAGGACCGGACGGCAAAGGGGTCGGTCTATGCACTAGGCGCTGTATCGTCTGTCCTGGCCAGTGGTGGACCGGAAAGCGTGGTCAGAGTGTGGGATCCGAAGTCCGGAAAATTGATCACCAAGTTCGTGGGTCATACCGACAATATTCGAGATATCCTCATCAATCAAGATGGCGATACCATCATGACCGCGTCCTCCGACCAGACGGTCAAGGTTTGGTCGCTAACAGCAGGAAGATGCATGCACACCTTGACGATGCACAACGACAGTGTCTGGTCGCTCTATTCGAATCATCCTCAGCTGTCGGTGTTCTATTCGAGTGATCGGTCCGGCTTGGTCGCCAAGACGGACACGAGGCACTCTGCCGATATCGAGCAAGGTGTCTGCGTGGCAGCACTGCAGGAGCACGAGGGCGTTATCAACGTCGTAGCTGCCGGAGACTATATCTGGACAGCAACACCGAAGTCTAGTATCAATCGGTGGAGGGATATCGATACCACAGCCGAGATAGAAGCACCAGCTTCAGGGGAACGAAAGTCCAGCGCTGAAAAGGATGCGGCTAAAGGAATGCCCAAGAAGATACCATACGAATCGGTTCTCTTACTATCAAACACATCTACATTCCCTAATTCGAGAGTACCTCACGACGCGGCACCGGGCGGCGCATCACATGCACAGGGCCAGGCTTCCGGCTCAGAAATGGAGGATGAGCTGGGATTGACCCTGCCCGTCCAGTCCTTGCCAGAGGAGACGATAGAAGGACAGCACGGCTTGATCAAACACTTCATGTTGAATGACCGCAAACGGACTTTGACCCAGGATTCTGCGGGTGAGGTGATCTTATGGGATCTTCTCAAGGTATGCTATGATCTAGGTCGGGACCGAACAAATGCTGATAGCTACAGTGTAAACCTATTCAATCCTTTGGCAAGCGGCATATGGATGATGTGGCCTCTGAGATTAACACCACGGAGAGTATTGCTCATTGGTGCACGATCGACATCCGCACCGGAAGGTTGTCAGTAATCCTGGAGCCAGGACGCTGCTTTGACGCGGAGATATACGCCGACGAAACAGACATAGAAGATAGTTCCCAGTTCCGCGATGACCAGAGAAGTATGACCACAACTCCATAATCGCTGCGTGATCGAGTACTGATGACGAGCAGTCAACCTAGGCAAATGGATATTGCGCTGGCTCTTTGCACCACTGGTCGATGAGCACGTCCGGCGCGATGCCCAGTATCGTGCCATGGCAGTTGCGAGAGCGGAGGAAATGGCGAAATTGACCACGACGAGCGCCTCTGCGCCGATGGATATACCGTCAGTAGATGGATCGAGGCGGCCGTTAGGCCTGCAGACTCCTATAGATGCCTCGTTCTCAACCTTCCGGTCCGGATACGACACTCTGGGCAGCCCTACGACGCCCGGCTTCGGCATCGGCTACGCAACGAGCCCGGGGACGTTAGGGTCACCCGTGCTACCACCACATAGCTACAACAACAATAGCTACTTTGGGACATCTATCGGCGAGACTTCGGACTTCCTGTCATCACAACAAAACCCGGACCTAACTCGAACGTCTTTCTCGGACCGGTCGAGCGATTACTTTTCGTCCTCGTCCAAGCCCCCGGGTCTGACTCCGCTAGACACAGAGAAGGCGCCAGCGACGCCCGGAGAGCCGACACCAACTGCTCTGCCTCAGTCACCGGTCGAGCCTGACAAAGAGGAACGAAAGCGGGGAGGATCTATATTTGGGAAGAAGTTTCGAATGGATTTCCCCAAGAGAATGGGCCGGTCCTCGTCGGAAGCCAAGCCCCAGATCCAAGAAGAGAAGATTGAAGAATCGGACAAGTCGTCTGTCAAGGAAGAGAAGGTGTTTGAAACTAATCTGGGTGGCTTCATCGAGCGAACCCGGCATGAGTACGAGGAATGGCTGTCTGCCAACCCGGGGCAGGAGTTGGTGTCCGCCTTTGCTCCTAGTCCTGACAATGAGACACCTGAACTGCAGATACCTCCTCGCACGGCCGTATTCATCCAAGAGGAATCTGGCGACACGGCAGTGGCTTCGGACTTGTACCGGGGTACTGTGGCGGGCATTAGTCAAGAGATTGATAAGTTGGAGAAGTCCATCCCGTTATGGCTTGCGGACTTGCTGCTCAAGGTATGTATGCCCCCTTTGACTATGGTATCCAGCTAATATAGGTAGAACCAAATGCCATTTAAAGAGCCGGTGAAGATTGCGTTCACGCTGAAACCTTACGACGATCTTTTGCCGCCTGTGGTCAAGCCAGAGTATGTACAGTGTACCCGTGGAAGAGTTGTGACTAAACAGGACAGGCCGGCTACGAGCGCAAACGCCAACAATAATCGATTAAACGCCAATCGCATGCTTCGAGCCAAGAAGATCCTTGCGTACGTTGCAGAACGGATCGACCCGCCTAATTCTGATGAGCCAGAAGAGGATGCGATGAAGCCGGAAGAGTATCTGGAATTGTATTGCCAGAAGATGGTATGTAGCGTTGGTGTCCATGTAGCTGTAGAAATGCTAACCAAGACAGCTGATACCGCCAAACATGACCCTCGCGACGATTCGGGCACACATCTGGCGCTCATCTGGGGATATGCTACTGTATTACAAAGCGAACGGAAAGAAGGAGATCAAGACCACTCCCGACGGAGAGAGCAACCACCTTGAGAGTGGCTCTCATCGATTCCTTGATCCCGCAAGTGCCGGCGGAGAAGCTGGAAGCGCGCCCCCAGGGAGCATCCACTCGCTGACAGCCTCAGGATCGGGTGCTGCCTCGATCAGCAATACCTGATGCAGTGTGGTACTAATTCTCTGTGTATATTGGTGTTGGCATACCGAGCGTATGGCTGTACATAAGCAATAACAAGTTAGCGTGAATCAACTAGTTCTACGGATATGTCGAATGAATGCATGCACATCAGAATGTATTAAGAGCCGCAGGAGTGACTTTTGCATGAACAGATGATCTTCATGCATGACCACGAGATTGTAAACTATTTTGGTTATCTGTAGTGTCAACGGAGCTCTCACGTGCTGTCACGGGTCTAGATAATATTTATTCAATGGGGGGAGATTCGAAAGGAGAACGACCGACCACTTAATCATTATTTCTTTCCATCTTCAAGATAATAATCTGGATATCTACAGGAGATTTCCAATGTAACAAAATCTCATGCAATCACTAACCCCACTGGAACATATATAAAGGTACCATCACATCCCAATATGGCCACCAACAGTAATAATGTACTATTACTCTAACTTATCTCCCCCTCATCCCCGCTTCCCTTCACACATACCAACTCAACTACTAGCAACAACATGTCCAAATCATCATCTCGATTCACCCCTCCCTTTCGCCTCCACAAACAACGAACATCTAATAGTACTCACCCCTCAACCCAACCCGCCCAAGAAACAATATCCGATTCCGATCCCCCACCCCAATCGCAGACTCATCCCCAAATCATGAACCCCAACATCAACCTCACCATCGAAACCATCCACGCCCCCTCCACCACCCCGCCCAAACCCACCAGCATCATAATCTTCCTCGCCGGCAGCACTCCCCCGTCACCAACAGCCACCAGCAAAGATTCGTCCAATCCTATCCGCATCTCCTCCCTTTCCTCCTCCCGACGAGACCACCACCAACAACTACCTCCACCCCCACCACCAACCTGGCGCGATACCCTTTCCACCCACCTAGCCCACTACTTCCTCCCAAAGCCACAACCACAACCACACCCAGACACCACCAACACCAATACTACCCCCCAAACCATCCACCTAACAATCCTCGACCCCTTCCGTCCAGATTGGGACAGTTCGTGGCGCGAAGACCCATCCTTCCCGCCTTTCAAGGAACAGGTCTCGTGGGAGATGGAGCAGCGAGAACGCGCTGATATCGTGCTGTTTTACTTTGATCCGGGCACTATGGCGCCGGTTAGTTTGTTGGAGTTGGGGTTGTCTATGCGTGAGCCTGGAAAGCTGGTGGTTGTTTGTCCCAGGGGGTATTGGAAGAGTGGGTTTGTGAGGTTGGCTTGTGAGAGGTTTGGGGTTCAGGTGGTGGAGGGGTTGGAGGAAGGGGCGGGGGTTGTGGGCGGGTTGGTTTGGAGTTTGGTTGAGGGGGTGAGGAGGGAGGGTTGTTGATTGTTGGATCGTGATGGGGGAGTTTTGGAAGGAATGCGTGGATCGGTTGTTGTTTGGTTTAGGGGATTTGTTTGGGTATTGGGGAGTATTATAGATGATGCTATATAATAAGATTTGATTTTGGTTAATACATTTGCTGTGTCATAGCCCGATATAATACATAACTTTATAGAGTTTGTGAGTAGTAGATTATGTAGCTGAGCGAGGCAGTAGTAAGTATAATGTCTCTAAACCAGACCATGGCTAGAAAGTGGCAACATGATTAGCATTAAGTAGGGGATGAGAATGCCGCTTAGTTCAAAGTTTCAATTTCATTCTCCATGCACTGGAGCCTGAATGGTGATATGTCGAACACTGATAATAAAACGTGCTGGAGATACCGAAAACCACATCAAGAACTTTCTGCATGTCATTAGTGCAGTATTTGCTTCAAGATATTTTGTTACTTCTGTCCAGAGACATGACCATAGAACAGACCATCTGCTCTGTTGTAGATGGTGAAACGAATATCACCATTCTAGTGATATATATAACTCATTGTACACCACAATTCAACGGACGAAGAAAACCGTTTGGGCTAAGTAGTGCAAGGAATGAGCGACACGCTGGGAATGAAATCCACACATGCTGCTCGCTTTGGATTGTGTACCCCGGCCCTAAACATATCCTGTGTGATGGCCATCAGGTATCAGCAGATCTAGGTACAGTCTAGTTTGAGAGATGTGCTTGCCCGATCAAGCGTCTTGATCCGTCTGTGTCGGATTTATACTTCTTATAGAGAATCACGAGAGGTAGAATTGATAGAACACCTGCCCAGTCGGAAGGAATTAGAGGCCTTTCATGAGTATGACTCCCTGGAAGGGGGTAATTTGACCGAGCCACTGAAGTAGTAACCTCAATATGTTGGAAGTGAGGCTTTTCCTTGTCTTGCATTAACCATTCTGAGCATATCTGCACAGGAAAAGGCAGATGCTAACATCTGTAATAGGCAGGAGGGATGGTTAGATGACGAGCTATCTTCCAGTTTGAAATTCGTAATCTCCTGCGAAGTCCTATATTACTCATGCCACATGGCACATGGATGTTCTTGAAAGCGCGAATAAGCGGTAATACTCCAGCACAAATACGCCGTTTCGAATCGAAATTTTGGCATTGAAGCGAACCCTCGCGTATTCCACTTTCCCCAATCCTAGCCAAAGGAGACTATACTACCTAACCTTCCCTTTCCGGTCTAATCTTCTCTCTGTCTATTCAGTCAGATACCAACACCCCATGTATGACAAACGCATAGCTGAGGGTTCAGCAAGGTCCGAAATAGTCTCTGTCTTGATGGGAACAGCTGTACCTGAACCTCCACGTGATGTTCTATTAATCTCCAGGTGATGGTTGAGTGTGGACTGATAACAAAATTGGCAATTAACGATAAAACGAAAGGTAGCAATATCAGAATCCAGAGAAAATGGGTAAGGGTGGTAGCCATAATAGGGGAGAGGTAGATGTACTTGTGAGAGGATATGGTGACAGTACTGATCGAGGTAGTAGTGGTAGTAGTGATTGATGGTTGATAGCAGTGTTGATAGACCAAGACACACCATGACCCGATGGATGGTAATTTTCTCTTGGTCTTCTTGGTAGTATTCTCTGTAATCGTGATAGAAGCAGTTGTGCTAACATATAGATAGTAGCAATAGTAGTCGTGGCAGTCACCGACGCATGAGCACGGAGCGTCTGCTGGTACAGACTAATCAATTCACATGTGCTTTATATGGGTCCACATCTCGGTCAAACATGCAGTGTGTTGTAGCATGATCGCAGTTTCATTATCTACTCGTGATTGTGAGAAGACCGGACACCCACAAAGTCGTGCGATAGGAATGATAGAGCAATGTTAATCCATCCTAAGGTTCAAAGGGAGATGTGGCACGCTGGTCTTCCTGATCAGTATAGAGATTATCAGATGAGGCCGAAATTATACAAAACCCGCCCAGAACAAGATATATCCTTGAGCTGCGCGTTGTCTCTAACTGGTTTCTCGGGACCACTGTAGCATGACAGTGGCTTGCTAGCCTATTTTCTATAATCAAGACTCAGGAGTTCTGTTCAGGCAGTCGGTCGTCAGTGTGTGGATGATTTCGAAGCAGCCATGGGGTAATTTGTATTTGTTTCTCTAGAGATTATATTGTCTGGTCCTTTCTGAATGGACCCCTTGTGTTCGACGGTGTCATGTCTTCATGGTGCCGGGAGGTGTACCACTATGAAACGCTTGCGAATTAGTAGGAGCATTCAGCATCACACCAACGATTATGCGCTATATTCGTGCTCGTTTACTTGGCGCGGTACGGGAGCGTGTTTCCTTGTATGCTGCTCGACGGCCACGCCACATGTTGTTTCAGGAACGTCACATATCTTGTAATGTATATAATTCTTTCAGACCAGACCTTCGGAGGACCCCACCTGAGCATATGGAATCTCTCTTTATATATTCAGCAAACGCATAGAAGGCACAGTGGGCGAGACTGAGCGTCGCTGATTAAGAACGGTCGCATCCGTTGTCTCTGAAACCAAGGGACGAGCACCCACATGGGCTAGTGTAGACCCGGTAAAACCCTAGATTGACCATATCACTTGTCCTAAATTACCAATGGATTCGTGATTAATGAGTATGTATCGTCGCATCTGTGACTTTGGAGACGTAGAAGCGATAGTATATAGACTTGTTTGTATCTGATGACTGATAGTGCATGTGGAAGAGGCACTGTTGGTCATATCTTTTTGATCACAAAGGAGGAACGCCAGTCATGCGTGGTCACTGCAATATCTGCACATGGTTTTGGTGTTGGGGCTTTCATCTTCATATTTTTTGCGAAAGCTGTTGCAATTGGGGGTAGAGATTGACTATTGTGTCCCACAGAACTTCTACCTCTACATGACTCCCCATGCTGTTGGTTTCATGAGCGCCAAAAGCCCATGGGGGTTCTCCCTCCCATGGTCTTTACCTGTATATAGATGGCTTGTTTGATGACAATGCTGAAGAGGATGATAGCTGAGGGAAACGGCAGTCCTTTATATAAGGTGGTTGCTCGTTGAAAGGCTTCCAGATTGTGTAGGGAGCTTCCGATAATATGGAGGAGAGATCAAAAGGCAGAGACAGCGGGATTCTCCGGAAGTGCATCTAGAAACATGCAGAATGGAATTCTTTGTTGTGGTTAGGATTTTGTGGAAGTCTGTAATCATACTGCTTAACACATAGTGTACTAGGTGTCTGTATCCATCTGAAACAATCTTCGTGCTCCTACTAGGCTCTCTGAATTACCAAGTTCATCCCATCAAGTCTGCGTTCAAGGTTTTGAGACACTGCAGCCAATGTTCAGGACCATTAGTAGTGGCCCGAGCTAAGCCAAACCAGACCTATGAGCTTTTGGTATTTCGAGAGGAGGTGTGGTACAATAATCCATCATTATCATCACTTGAGGCCAGTCCTCCAATATTGTTCCATCATCTGCCTAGCAGTTAAAGGCTTGATCTCCGGGAACACTTCGTTCAAACTCCCCTCCCTCGCTATCCGCGCCTGACCCGTAGCCATCCAAGTCTCAACGATGGCTAAGAACCATTGAAGTCTGTCTTTGGGAAACTTGTTGTACGATTTGACATGACCAGGTAGTTCCGTGATTTGTGATGTCTTTAGCTTCTCGATATCATCATGGGTGACGTCAAATTTCACCCCCTTTACCTCCTCGGCAAGCTTCAAGAATTCATTGAACGTCATTTCGTCACCGACAATACGGAGCTCTCGGGGCCACTTCTCGAGATCGAGCGCGGCAACGACGAAACATGCGATATCGAAAGTGTATGTGAAAGTAACTGGCACATTGCCATCCCCTGGAATGGCTGCCATATTGTCCTCCACATCAAGCACCAGCACACTGTGGGGATGGTACGACTTCAGTGTTGGCGGTGCGATGTATTCCAAGAACGTGCCATTATACACAGGAGCCCATTCAAGGTCACTATTCTCGAGGGCCTTGAAAGAGGCAAAGTAGTGTTCGAGAGGCGGAAGGATAGTGACGTCCCTGCGCAAGTTAGAGGTCATCAGGGTATGAACAGAAAGTTTGAACCTCACTCTTCTGGATAAGGAATTGCGAAAGAGCTAGGAATGAATCTCTTTGTTACTGAAGACGCTTCAGCAGCTTTGATGAGATTTAGTTGCGACTCTGCGAGAGAGGTAGCGTTGATGCCAAAGGTGCAGATGACCGTGTGGATGTTGTGTTCTTCCAGGAATAACTTGAGTGAATCGATATCTTCATAATTGACTTGGAATGTCGGAGCAGGTAGCTGGTCATCTTTCCTGGGCACCTAGGAAGGATAAGGTTATTTGCACTACACAGCTGTAGTAAGCTAAACTGACTTACACTTCGTGTGAGGGCGAATGGCCGATGGCGGGTCTGGGAAGCCATGACCTCCAGCAGGGTACGCCCGACAGCACCCGTCGCGCCCGCAATAGCAACATTGACCATCCTGAGACGAATATGCCAAGAGTTCTATGTCAAACGATTATGACTGTGATCTGTTCAGTAAGGTGGAAGGGCACAGAGACCTTTAATATACTTGTGTTTGGTGAAACAATGACGGAGTTAACAACCGGAGATAGGGCCGAGATGACAGTTGGACCAGCTTGGCCGACTAGTCGCAAAATTGTCGGCCCACATCATTCCCTAAATTGCAGAACCAAATGCTTTTCTCTAGTCTATTCGATCAAAGGACTTAGAGTGTGAAACAGTATGATTTTGAATCGAGTAGGGGGATGTTCGTGGACATATGTATCACGTGATTCAAAGCAAGGAATGCCACACACGTGACAACGAAATATCTTGCGCTTTACTTGTTTGGGCGCTGTGTCCTTCGTATCAGCCACTTTATGTGACCTCCTCCTTACGGGCATCGTCCCTGATTCACGGCCTAATGTGATGCTTCTCTTATCAACTAATCGCAGTATCCTTCTAATGCCACTGCTGAGATTTTTCTCAAGATGGAAAATCATAAACAAGCACAACCGTATGAACTCTTAGTTGACCTATTCCTGTCAGAAGAGAGTTTGGACGTCTCAGCCACCCGCGACTCCTCCATCATCAACATTAAGGAGGTAGTGAGACAAAGTCCCAGGTTAAAACGATTTGCTGGGCATGCAGATGACTTTGTTAAGCCTGTGTTCATCGACAAGGGTCAGCAAGGGTTTGTTTTCCGGTTTGAACACAACAAGCGAGATCTCTGCTTGAAGTTGGTAGGTTCCCTATCCAATAAAACATACTCAAACTAAGAATCATTGTTATGACTAAATGTACGTACAGTTCTATGACTACCAAGCACCCTACACTGTCCAAGAAAGAACCTTGGCCTTCATCTGCCCGTTTGCATGTGAAGCACGTGCCTTTGCGCGTCTATGCGATTTGCACGAAAATGGTCACTGGGCAGTGCAGTGTCATGGGTGGATGTATCTGACTGATTCCCAACTCCAGCAGCTTCAAAGAGTAAGTGGAAGAGAAAGGCATGACCCCAGCTGGAATAACGCCCGCTGGGCGATTGTCAAAGACTTCATTGCTGAGGAGCCACTAAGCCGACAAGATGAAGGGTTCCAGCAAATCATTTCAAATTTTGTCATTCCGAGACGCGGTTATATTATGCCCCAGAATGTCAAGAAAGATAATTATAGAGGTACATTAATCGTAGATCTGGGGTCTACTTTCACCTTTCCATTTTATCGGTCCTATGCAAGCCTGTACGAGTTCAATGCCATCTACAGGAGCATAGATGAATATGGGGTACCTGAATGGGATGGATGCCATTGAAGGCCCCAGACATCGCGGAAAACACAACAGCATGTAGATGCACAGACGACAAGGATTTGCGCACGGAAATACCCAAATATAAACGAGTGTGGCACACCGCCCACCAGTTGTCTGCGAGCTACCACCCTCTATTTCCATGACCCCAAGACCTACGTTCCTGCCCTACGTCTATAGCTTCAGAATGAAGGTCAACTTCAACTGGCCAAACTGCCTGAGCAAAACAGATTTCAGTTATAGACAGCTTTATCATCTGTCACTTTACAGCTTTCACATTCGTCAGCTCTGTACTTGCGTTATCATTCTCCTCCTCAATTACTTATCCACTCGGGTGGTTTCTGAACCTGGGAGGGTGTCGAGGCTGTTACTAGCTACCTACCAATTGGGCCTCTGTGGAGGCTTTGGTTTAGTCAGAATGTATCATGTGTGATCGATACAAAGCTTACTGACCTTGAAGTGGGCGAAGACATTTATTTAATGAATTACAATAACCCATATCCTTCTGAGCCACCAGTGTCAGTATGAAATACTAGCATCCGAGAAGCAACACACATACTTCGTGAAGACAGAACCCAGAGCTTGACTAGACATATTATTCCAGCACGAGAAACAGTAGAAACAACAACAGGCTCCTTAAATTCCCAGTCCACGCAAATCAGACAACATGAACCATGAAGGTGATTATAGTAACCACGCTGGTCAACCGAACAACACTGAATTTCGTTCTTCCATTACTACCACTCTCGTTTCTGCTTACCTTTCATGCTTATTTGCCAATTGCAAAGGATGAAATTCAGGCACATCAGCCCCATCTAGCATGTCTTGAAGCTGGCGTATCCCAAGACTCAAAAGATGAATTCGACATATGGACGGGCTCTGTTTCAGCCTCAGGTTCAGCCTCTGGAGGAGGAGGAGCCTCAGTCAACCTATCATCGCTCACCACTGGCATATCCCAAGACCCAGAAGATGAACTAGACATGGGAGCTGGCTCGGGCTCGGGCTCAGGCTCTGTAATAGGAGGTTCACAATCCCGAACAGGCAGTTCGAAATCTTTACCCGGGATAGGAAGCCCCAATTTGATCATGCTCTTTTCCCGCGTCTTCCTGTCTTTGCTGGAGAGACTGTTCCAGTTGCTATAGAGAGGGTTATTTGGTGTTCGAGGAGTGACAACAATAAGCCTACGAGTAGGCTCTAGATCATGCTGTAACTCTGGTTCTGGAGCTGGTATTGTCTCTTCTGCAGGCCCAGTCTCATACGCGACCTCAGGCTCGCACACAGCCTCAGGTTCGCACACAGGTTCACACACAGGTTCACACACAGGCTCAGGTTCGCACACAGGTTCACACACAGGTTCACACACAGGTTCACACACAGGTTCACACACAGGTTCACACTCAGGTTCGCATACAGGCTCACACTCAGGTTCGCATACAGGCTCACACTCAGGTTCGCACACAGGCTCACACTCAGGTTCGCACACAGGTTCGCACACAGGCTCACACTCAGGCACACCCTTAGGCTCACACTTCCATTCGAATATGCGATGAGGCACAGGCTTAATAGCTTTATAAGATTCGACCAAGCTCATCACGCGGTGTATTCTGTCTTGCTCCATTTCGTATAGTGCCAAGACCTCATCAACAACGAAAGTATCGAAACTTTGACTATTTCCAATCTCATAGTTCTTTATGATTTGTCGCAGCTTTCCATCTGTGTTTCTAAATGCCACAATCAATTGTTCTCGGACAAAGTCCTTAAGCCACATGCGTCCAGAATGATCATCGAGAAGGCTTCCGTAAACACATCTTATGGCACGCAGAATATCGTCTATTGACAATCTCTCGGCAAATCGGGCCATGAAGTGCTGCGCCATGCTTAGTAGCCCCGGGATCTCGTACTGAACGGCAGCCTGATATACATAGGCTGCGCGCTGGAACTCTTCTCTATCGCGAGTGTTGAGTATTATGGGGATGTCTTCCGCGGACTGAGGGATGCTGAGTGGGGTTTTAAGTGTCTCATACTGTCCAGTGTACAAGTAATGAATGAAGGTATGGGCACTTTGCGGCTCAATGCACAGCTGGTGATGATGGCGCTCACTGTCCCAGTATTCATTATGCATAACCTCCGGTTCGAATTGCAAAGTTTTATATGGTTGGAGGTACTGCTGTGGAATCCTGTAGTAGTTGTCGTTGACCTTGAGGGTGATGATGGGAGTCGTATAAGGACTACATTCTAATGTTAGCAACGGCTCAATAGCACTGAAGGTATAGACCTAATATATCATTGCGAGAAGGTGCGAGGATGGAAAAGGAGAGAGGGATGGCCCTTACCATTCAGCTACCTGGGCATATTCTTTGAGCTCTGGGATAAATGGGTCCACTGGTTGCTCGGCCATGCCATCCTCAGGCGCGGGCGGTATAGGCTCCTCAGGCGCGGGCGGTATAGGCTCCTCCGCCATGACTGTGGTAGATCTTGCCTTTTTCTTTAACATCTTTTTATTACCCATGGTGACACTCGTGTCGGGAGTGTGCTGACACTTAATGGTGGTGGTGTCTGAAAGTCTGGGAGGACGCCTTCATATCTGGGATCCAAGGCGGTAATAAACAGCGCCAAAATCCAGGTGCTACCGCGGGGATGAATCCAGCCCCTATACGCAACTGACACGTCATACTCTATCGCTGCATGCAAGGCTACGATGCTCGAGACATGTTGGTGTGTGTTGGCACGCAAGATAGTTGCGGGGTTCTATACTGCTGGAACGAGGCAGCCTGTAAGAGCGGCATCATGGCATACATATTTGGCTTAAGAGCCATGCATGGAGCTGCGAGACGCCAGCTGATACTATTGCCTACAGTAGCACCCTGTGCTACAAAATGAAATTGTTGGTGGTGTTGTACTTCCATTTTAGGGCAGCTGGAAAAAATCCAGCCTTGCGCGCTTTCTGCCGGTGGAGTATTGCATGACAGTGTCTCAAGGGACTCCAGAGAATGCTCCAGAAGCCGAGAGCCTATCGATATGAGTGACTAGCAGATAACCAGGCGCTTAGGTGGAGTACATGAAGCATAGCAATTAGGTGCGACCTTGATAGCTGTTGGACGGCTCAGCACTAACCGGAAGGAACTCCGATCATGTTGTCCGATATCTGTTGGATCTGCTAAGGACGCAAGCTCACCCCAATTATTGCTGGCTGTGGTAGCCAACGTACTGATGCCGTTATGCCACCTTGCCCGGGAAGCTTGCACGAGGCTGTACACATACCCCGCCGGACACCCCTGCTAGGCGCCTGCGCCAACTTGCATCTGCCTGCTGCGGCGGCAAAGGAATAATATCTTGACGTCCAATCAATTGAACGATTGTGACCGGCGATGTCTAGAATACCGCTAACGCCTTTTTCTTTTACTGTAGACAGCCTTGTTAGGGTCCCCTTTGGGCTCGTCCGGCACAGCCACTTCCCCAGCCACACAGAGGCGCTGGAGAGAAGCAATGACGATACTTTGCAGATGGGTGTCCAATATATAGTGAAGCATCAACCCTGGTTAATTATCGTACCAGTGACAGGCCTGAAAAGCCTCTTCTCTGCAGTCTACGGATTTTCAGCTCTAGGGATTCTATTCTTCGGTTCTATTCTTCGGTAGAATCGTTACAACATACTTCTTACCTCCCATTACTGGCAGCCCTATCATATCACATCAGCCCCTATTACATCAGCCCAGTCATGCCAGCAGCTTCAACGTATGAGCAACGGCAGATCTTTCTTGCCTGCAGGGCCATCTTCAGCGGTGCGAATGCAAGCATACGAAAAACGAAGACTATCCGCACACGCTTGGAAATGCATGAGAGCTCCTTGAGAAGGCTAATTCCAGGTTACCATCTCACTAGGGTAGTGTCGATTGCCAAGCTTCTTCTAGAGAAAGGCCTTTTCGGTTCGACGGCCAAGGCTGAAGCTTATTTTCCTGGTCTCTTTGAGCCGTGTCCCGTACGGCAGACGCTGAATGCAGTACTTGAACAGGAAGCGTCTCGCTCAAATGAAGAAGTGCTCGAGGTGGTTTCACAATCGTACGAAGAACACGGGAGTGAAGGAGAAGACGAGCGAGTAGACGCTGTTGCAGCTCCAGCCCCTGAACCAGCAGATGTTGAGTTCACCCAAGAGGTGAAGGTTGAGCAGGACGTGAAGGTTGAGCAGGACAATGATTCAGGTATGAAATGTGTAGATGGTGGGATGTCGTTTTAGGTTCATTGATAACGTGGATTTCAGATGAAACATTGACCCCTGAGAGACCCACAGCCTCACTATTCCCATTGTACCTGCCCTATCATGCCCAGCATCGAATCTTGACCAATGTGCAGCAAGTTCTAGAGGAGTGCATATTCGACTTTATGAAGAAGTGGCTCCCTAACTATCTTGAAAGGAACGGATGGGACTGTGCTGCAGCTGTCGAACTGACCAAGTGGACGAGACATCCTTTCCGATGGACATCCCAGTTACCAGAAGATGCTCTGCACCGAACAGACCTTAAAATTGAGTCGATCCTGTCGAAAGTAGTGAAAGTGCGTCATACTGCTGTACATCGACTTCCGACCACTGCACGCGGGGTTTGCGATCTTGTTGGGATTGCTAAGCAGTTGACTGAAACTCTTGGAGATACCCCACGCACTTCACAGCTTGAGAATCTCCATCATGATCTGCAGGATAAGATCCAAATCCTCGAGTTCAACAAGAATGTTCTGGAAGAAAATCTAGCTTGTCAGCTCAGAGACATTGAAGCCGAGCGGGAACTGTTGACTCGCCGGGAGGAAAGGGTGAGAGCCAAGACAGTAGAGGATGATAGGGAAAATAAGCTTATGATGGGCCTCCTGTTAGAGGAGTCGATGGAACACATATTCAGATCTGAGGTGGTTCAGTCGGAGCCTGGGCGAAAATGGTTGCGTCTGGGCAACAAATGGACATCCGTTACTGGAGCCGTTTCGGGCTGGGCTCAAGACAGACTGGCTAAAGACGTTTTAGTCCTTCGTCTCGGGATCCTTGCCATCTCTTGTTTCATTTTGGTAGTCGCGTGGGTGCTAGTGCGGCGCTTCATGTATGTGTCTGGGATGTAGCAGGGGATAGGAATTGAGCGAATTTAGACATGATGTACGAAGTCTCATAGATTATCTCGAAGCAACTCTTCATTGGGGCATGTGAGTCTGAATTTACCTCAACTTAACTGAATTCCAACGGAAAGTTAAACAGAAGTCATGGTTCCTTCGAAGTTGGAGCAGGGGTTAAAACTTTTTCCATATGCATCCCGAAACCCCTGCCTGGCACAGAAGCGTTTTTGACATCAACGACACCGCTATTCCTTTTACTAAATTGACCAAATGCAAAGTAAAGAACCCTTCATTACCACCTCTCTTCAGTGTCAGTGGCTCTGGACGTATCAATTCATGGCATTAAAGTCTCGCAGAGAAGTACACGTTGAGAGCCGCAGGCGATATCAGAGCATCATAAGGCATTACTGAATCATAATAGTTATCCCATGGCAGGATAACGATTATGCATGAAGGCACGGCGGCTAGTGGAGTTATACGGTCAGTGCTATTATGAAATTAATATCGCATAGCAATTCGGTAGCCATTGTGATGACGTCTACGTAGTACTGTCGTAGTATTTTGCTTTCCTTATTTTCCCCCTGCTTTTAATTGTTATTTTTATTCAGTCTATTTCATCTTTATCTCTCCTTTTACTAATAGTCACTGAACTGATTATACGGTTGTTTTGTTTGAAGCCAAGCTTAGCCTCTAGGTGTCCTAGGGTTATTGTGTAGTGTTCCGTCGCTTCCTTCTAAGAGCATATTGGTGCTTCTGCTCCGCCCAGATCAATTACTCATTGCAAGATATTGTTATTAGTTCATTTGGCGATCACTCCACCCCCTGCAGCCGCACACCGGCCCGTTTACATCCGTTGCCCCTCATACCCAACCTCTTGATATAACTGCTGTATCTGGTCCAAAATGAATGATATCCGGTCTGTAATCCAGCGAGGAGAATTCTATTCCCTTCCCGTGAACGATCTCCTGCAACTTATCCACAACGAATATCCGACGGAACTCGCAAGACTCAAGACAGCCTACTCGATCCCGGTTCGAACGAGACCCCACCACCTATCGGAGCCGTCTCCGTCGCAAATCATCTATCATGACGAGCACGACGAAGTCAACCGCACCCTGGTAAGCCTATTGCTGCTTCGCAAGATTCACAACAATGACTACGCCGGGTTCGTGGGCAACCAGCGGCAAACTGGGGTCCGACACCTCCGCAAGCTATCATTCGCGTGGATCCGCCGGCTATTCCGGCGTTGTCTGACCACGTCTGACGATCTTCACACTCTCATCACCTCAATTATCATTAACGATCTTGGAAAATCGCCAACCCTAGCCGCTGACCTGCAGCGGCAGAAAGCTACAGTAAACGCATGTCAAGGCAAGCCAAACCATGACGTGGTCCTTGACCTAGTAGTCCGAGAAGCGCCTCATCTCATTCCATGTCTTGAGAAGCTTTCGCCATCTCACGGTTATCTTCTCGTTCGTGGCATCGAACTAGGCGCTGAGTTCAATTTTGGACAGATGGCCCAGGCAGAATGTCCGCCTGCTAGTTTGTTGGGGCTGGAACGGTTGCGTCCGTGCCATGGCGACGACGATAACGATAAACACATTAGTATCCAAGTCTTTCACATGCGCTACATGGAACAGATCCTTGATATTGCGGGTGCATTAGGTCATCAGGATCATACAAATGCTGCACTTTTCACAGAGCCAATCTACCAGTCTTACCGAATCATTTACCAGATAGCTTTGGACGTGATTAATGGAAATATCGATCGAAGGGAAGCGTACGATGCTAACCTGGTACGCAAACTGGAACTTCTCATGACTCAGAATGGATGGAGAGCAAAGGGCAGGGGTCTGGACGTTCATGACCCAGAGCACAGGGCTCTAATGCGATTGCTGTGTATCTGCAATGCGACAGCAACGAAGGGCGTCGAGGTTGCTGACTTGGTTTGGGAGACGTTCTTTGATGGCATTGACCCTGAGACGAGATTAATGCTGGTTAAAGGGCTGAATATTGATGGAAGTGAAAGGATACCGGCCGTTCAAGCGACATACGCACCGGCTGTTTGTAGCGCTGCCATCAAGGCCTCGAGAAGCGAAGGGAGGAAGGAACAGAAGAAAGCACTGGCCGCCGTGTTTTGCTACCTAGCGAGGGTCCATACACTGACGCCGGCTGAATCGAATGAACTACCGGATGGAGTCATGGTTGTTGAACGCGATGTCCGGGATAAGGTCTTATCCGTTGTCACTTCAGACTCTTTCCGAAGTAGTCCTGATGTATTGAATGATTTGGATGTACCGGAGATTGCGATTGCAGTACAGAGAGATCCTCGCAGATAGAGGTTGGTCGCAGAGCAGTTGCAGTTACCCGGCTTCAATCCTAGCAGTATACCTTCGGCTCACCGGATGGGAAGGCAGCGCCATTCTCACAGTCCCTCACTGCATTCCTCCCATCCCGGATGGCTCCAACAACGACTTTCTGCACATCCCAAATATCCATCTGGGTCTCCCTCACCAAACTCCTTTTAGCCTTAAAATTGTCCTGCCACGTCGAATCGTCTCCACGCTGATGTGGCAGCAGATCCCAACGGCTCATACTCTCCTCCTCCTCGTCGGTCAAATTCAACCATGCAAAGAGATCCATCCGTTTCGTCGATCGTCCCAGCATTAACTCAGTGTCAGTGGAAGGGCCCCTCAAACCCCATCCTAGGTCGGTATTCGCAAATTCCATACACTCGGGCCACTCAAAAACCGTCGCCTTCAGTCTAGAACCGATTTGACACGTGTAGCCCTTCACCCTACCGTACCGTTCTGACTTCACCTCACATGGTCGAACCGTATCATCGCATCCAAATCCACGACAGATAAGCATGGATGGCATGGTGATAAGCAGCACTACGTACATTTGTGTGGCCAGGACAGCCATACCAAGTGTTATGACCTGGACACAGAAAGCAGCCCAGGCGACCCAGCAGAACATATCGTAAAGCTTGGGTGAGCTGGGGATAGGGTTGCGGATAAAGACGGGGATTATTAGGTTCCCCGGAACATACATGGTTAAGATGTTGGAGTCTGGGGTTATTATCAGGATTTTGTTTCTGCTTGCTTGGTTCTGCGAAGAGGATGGTGAGAGTGACTGTTGTATGATTGCACGATCAATGGCCGATCGGTTGGCATTTAGGAGGTAAGCTCGCGCTAGAATGGAGACAATCAGCGCACATGCCGTTGCAAGACCGTAAAAGTCATGGGACAACACAGTTAGCACCACCAAGAAGCCCGTTGAACAGAAGGAGATGCCAGCGGATATCAAATGATAGTACATGCGTTGATTTGACGTTTGCGTTTGCTCTTCCCAACAGATCACGGTCCGGGTAGGCTCAAGTTGTTGACACTGAATCCATCGTGTGAACCAGGCTGCCATGTCGGTGGTGTGTATTCCTTTGGTAACATTGTAGAGGAAAAAGGAGGGCTGCTTTCTGAGGAATTGGTTTGTGGCAACCACGTTGATTGCGAGGAGAGGCATATATTCGAGCCACCGGCTGGGAACTAGACGCCCAACCCAAGCATCAATTTCTTCGCTTCCAAGAAGAGTGATTATACCGAGGGCATCAATCTTGAAGGGCCGCCAGGTATAAAGGTCTCTCCAGGGATAGTCCATAGTGTGCGTGTGTGCGTACGTTTGTGCTCGCAAGTCGTCTGCGGCAAATTTTGCGAAATTGTATTTATGGGTAGATCAGACTAAGTAAGTTATAGCTGACTCGTGAGCTTGAAGCAGGCGCCAAAGGAGACGGTAGTATGCCCCAACAGAGAAAACTGCCTGCAGGTAGTGGATCTCAACGAGAGATTGGAAGGCAGGAGGGGATTCTACTCTGTACTTTAAATATCTTATATTTGTATCATTATGATCCATTACATGAGATATATTCTGAGTCTGACTGCCTTCATCTACTTCGCTACATACTTCGTAGGCTTTGGATGGGCGGGACGGGCCATTAATGTGACACGTCAGCCTATGCTTAAATCCGAATTACTCCATGGATGGATCATCTTCAGCCAGCCTCTCTGTCGGGCACTCGCAGAAAGCCTTACCATAGTGGGCAGGTTATGGGCGGATCAGTAAGACCAGACCGATTCGCTGTGTGATTCCGTTTCCCGCTCTGCATTGCTTGTCCTGCATCTTGTGGGTCACCCTCACTACCTAAGCCAGTCGGAACTCCTTATACTCCCAATGGACCTCTAGAGGATCCGAGCTTAGTCCGTGATTAACATACCCTAAGCCCACTCGCCGCGATATCCCATCCTTGGTAACTAGGCCGAGTAATATGGACACCGTATACGGTGGGCTCGTAATTGACTCGGCCGCAACGAGGAGCGCGAGCTCTTCGACTTTTTCACTTTCCTTCAAGCTGTCATACCTGAATTCTCCAACTGCCTTGCCGATCTTCAACTGGTGTGCTTGCCCGTTACAATGCGCAGCAATATTATAGCTTGATGTGTATGCGCAAAAGAAGTGGAGGTGTCCTTCTTGGGTTCTGAGATCAGTGGGAAATGACAAGGACCGGCGATAAAGCAAATTAGTGTCCAGTCCGAGCCGTTTCTCTAGAAATGCCTTCGCCTTGTGGAACTCCAGGGATGAAAGCGGTGACTGGCCTGCCTCTTTCCAAGCCTTACATGACCATCTAATCTTGCTCATGTTAATCCTGTGATCCCTGCTGGGGCCGTCAGAATAAAACCAGCAAGGGACGGCCGGATAAACAGGTCTTTTCTTCAGCAATGCCTGGCTTAGGTTCCTGGAGAGCCAGAGGCTCTCGGCGAACACGAATTCAACAGAGCCAATCCAGGATGCCCTAGTCATAGGTGAGTATCTTCTATAGCCAAGGGAAACAGAGAGGATGTATACCATGACCATGAGGCAAAATAGGTGGGCAACCAGGAAGGGCTCCCATGCTGGGCTACTCGTTTCTTCGCAGTATGAGAGGGAAACCAAAGCATTGCCTGCCATAAAAAGCGTGCTGGAATCCCTTGTGCCTGTCTGATTGGAAGACTCTGTTCTTCTTGCACACTGAACCTGTTGTAAATACCCTGGAAGGCATTGAAGACATCTTCTTCGTACTTGAGCTCCTTTCGAGTGTAATCCTGCACCGCCGTCTGGTAATCCCAAATGTCCAGTCGATTGGTATTCAGCTCTCCCATGTACCGGTACGGAGTCGGGTCGAGGTCCTTGCGAAGTTTGCGGTTCCACCAGGGTGGGCCCGTACGCAGTTCTAGGTTCGAGTACTCTTTCCCTCTTCGGTGCTGCAGTGCGTAGGCCTCGCGACATTGCATCTCACAGCAGTTGAAGAAGACCTCGTGAGGTGTAAAATAGAGACATCGCTGCGAGAGGCATTGTTCCTGGTATGTCCAACAGCGGGTATTCCAGGCCGAGCGGCGAATCTCTTCGCACAGAGACGGCGGGCAGATGGCCAGATTTAACATGACTGCGTCCTTGCGGCATTGACCATCCACAATGGCTGTCTTTCGAATGGGTAGCCCTCCCTGTCTTGGTGTTACCCCCATGAGACCCGTCTGAGAATCGTATCCCGAGCCAGCAATGAGGGTCACGGCCGCATTATCGTAGATGTCGTCCATGCGCCCGATAAGGCGAGCGATCTCATCTTCTTTGTCCTGGAGAATACATAGACAGTCGACCCAGGCGTATCTGATGCCTAGTTGTCGGGTGAACACCATGGCATCCTGTACAGTGCGGGGAACCTTTAATGTGCCAAGAGAGTCCAGATGAGATGGCGATAGTGCCTTCTCGGCTTTGCAGAGCTTGTCAATGTTCTTAGTCGTCGTGAGGAAGGGTTCTACGCCCCCCCATATGTACGACAGGGCCGAATACGCACAAGGCTCGGTTTTACGCACAAGCTTCTCCTCGATGACATCGATAAGTAGGAAACCACCCTCGTCATGAAATAGGCCGTTGGTTCTGTTGCGCATCCGTATGGAGTGCTTGTGGTTGTCACACTCGCGAAGCCATTCCGCCACTAGTGTAGCCTCGACAAATTCGCCGACACTACGTCGCTGGAGAAATCGCCTATCACCCTCTTCGGGAATTGATTCTAGCTCCGCCACGATAAATCGTTTTGTGTTCCGATCAATCTCACGTACAGTGGGTCTTCCACGCTGGAAACCCTCGGGTTGCCGGTCCACGGCCAGCTGGAGACGAGGCTCCGGATGATGTATATGCCCGTACTTTTTGACGGACAGGGGACTCCTGCTCTGGATGAACGTTCGGGTACCATTTCCATCTTTCCCAGTTGACTTGGATTCTGCAAAGTTCCAACCCGCACTGGAAACTGCGGTAACTATGAGTTTGCAAAAGGGGCAATTTGAATTCCGATGTTGCGACAAAAGGCCAATTTCTTGCTCGGATGTCTCCCCGGCCAACAGCTTTCCGAGATCGAGCTTAGCACAAGCTATGCAAAGATTATCGGACAAGGGACACATGCCTGCCTCGTATGTGAAAATGGACTGAGTAAAGGGATGGAAAATGTTGAATGGATAGATGGCAGGTGTCCAGGGTGTTACCTTTGTATCCAGATACAAGGATGCACCATGGAGTATTCCGTACAGGCGGTCAGATCAGACCGATGTATGAAATGACCTATCAGCTTGATAGATAGTATGAGGTATCCAAATCAAAGGATATCCAATTCCATTGGATATTCAAGCCTCCACACCGACACTTGGGCGGGCGGCAAAGTCTATCGAGTAGATACATGTAGCGTGGGCGGCAGGGTGCAGATTGGAGGGTTGTTTCTCCTCTCTGTGAATCGTAGAGATAGGGAGCCGAAAGCCTTAAACAATTGGTAGAGGCTAGGACGAAAGGTGTAGTCAGAAGGTATCACCGCTGCACTCCCTGATCCATAGGGGATAAATCGGAGCAGCTTTTTCCGTCTCGGACCACTTTATGCATCAATTCAGCTGGGTGGGGCTGCTAACATGTAGAGAGTGAAACCAATCCTAGCATATGCAGACACGTGCGTCCAATCTAGGGCAGTGGCTAACTGAATGAAGGTCGTATTCACGAAACTGAAGCCAGAACGCCCAACTTTCGAGCACTTGCTGTCGAAGCATCCGGTAGATTGGAATAACCGCCTGCGAAGGCTCTACGGAGCCAATTTTCGTAGCCAATATAGCATTGGAGCAAGTCTCGGGTAGACCTTCCTTTGTTGGCTTCAAGGTATAAGGGGAAATCGGAGGGAGGGGTTGGTGGGGGGTCTCCCAGCGGGTTTGAATCGCTCATCCTCTGCTCTTCTGCGCTCAGGCAAGAGGGGAATCCGTTAATGCTCTCCTTGAGTCGTTGCAACCTCGGCTTCTAGCAAATATAAGTATCTTCTGTTGAGTTGAGAATCTATTGGATATTCTGTCCGGAGTAAGCCGGCGATATTTGTGTCTCTCTAGCCGGCTTAGTCCCCATTTATCGTGACTCAGAGGCTTTCACGATTCGAGGGTCAGACAGAACACATGAAGGCAGGGCCAAGTGCCTCATGAGGCTGCCAGATGAAAAGTGTGAACAGGAGGGCAACCCTGTCATTGTGCCTTCTATCTCGAATACTACAGAAACTTTGATGCTTTCACACATGGCTTGTCTTGTCCTCTCAGGTCTCCTGGAGTCACTGTCCACCGACTACGGAATGTAGTGAATTGACATGGAGAAACAGGAATTCTCGCTAATTTAGATTGGTCGGATGTGGTTGTGGCCGGCTCATCCGCACTCCTGCCACTTCTTCCTCGCCGAATAGATATTCTTTACGAGGAAGATACAACAGTACAAAACCCTCTAGAAGTCTACTTTCAGTGAATTTCATAGCATGGACTACGCTACCCCGAAGCACTCTGCCAACGACATGTATTAGGACCATTGCTAGCGCTAGCGACATTGATATCTTTCTATACGGGCTGGAAGACGAACATGTCGCCAGAAGCCGCATTATCAGGCTGGAGGCCCAGATTTGAAGCGATCAAAAATTACAAGGCTGCGAGGGACTCGCCCTGCGGACTGAGCATGCTACTACATTCATCATACCGCGGTGGCCTTACCGAAACGTCTAGGTGAGCTGTGGAAAATACTTCCCATAAGAAGGGTTGTAACTTATGCGTCCACTCGGTGGGATCAGATAATACTCCGCCTTTACAAATCCATTAGTAAAATTTGGAAAGGTTTTGATGTTGACTGCGCACGCGTAGCTTTTGATGGAACGCAGGTGTATTTAAACCCCCGTGGAATAGCGGCCATTGCTACCGGGACGAACAATATTGACCTTACGCGGAGAAGCCCGTGTATGTACAGCCCTAGGACATAAACTGAGACATGTATTTTCGAAGAAAAGCTGAGAATGACAGAATCTAAAAGCATACGAAAACCGTCTTTACAAATACCGCCGGCACAACTTCGACGTTCATTGGGACGAGCTTGACCGTAGCAAGATAATGATTAACTTTGACGAACTGGAAGAGGAAATTTCTCCTCGGGACTTAACAGGGCTATCTCGACTAATATTCTTCGAGAGGATAGCTGCCAAGTCGGAACAAAGTTACCATCAGCGGCGTCGGCTGAGGAGAATAGAGGAGAGTCAAGATCCCCTGCTGACGACGCCGAGCGGCTACGCCGTATTGGAGATACCATATGGGGAGAGGTCCAAGGCTGCGAGGTTTGTATTCTATCCACTTGCCAATTTGCATTCCATTCTATTCAGTTTCCTATTACGAGTGAGCTGTGCATAAACTACTGGTTCATACAACGAGCAGAGTTCGTAGATATGTCAATCGACACTCCAATAACCAACCGCACTTTTTCGGCACAATCCTTGAAGTTGTTACACGGGGCTTGAAAGGGTCACGAAGTCCCCATAGCCAGCTTTCTGGAAAGGTCACATTCATTACAGATAACCCCGGCCGTCAGATGATTGAGGGCTTTCACCCGGCCCACTGGTTGGTCCAGGGGAGAGACGTGGACTTCCCAGCGTAGAGGTTCTCACTCAGGTGTCATAGAAGGTCCACCGGCAAGTCGAAGAAGCGATTTTAAGGAAAAACAAAACGCTGGGGTCTTCTGTAGTGACGTTAGCAGCCCCGAAAAGCCACATACCCGTTCCAGGTGTACGTTTCCTAGACTATAGCAGATGCAAGAAATGTCGAACGGCGAGAGGCAGGTGGATAAATATGGGCACGGTATATGTGATCTTCCGAGTATATAATCTAGGATAACGGTGCATTAAGATGAAGGTATATGTGGATCCGGGAATGATGCACATAAGGGTGGAGTTACTGTTTGATTAGGGAGGGGTGGTCGACGGTTCCACCTTGATGTGCTTAGCGTGTGGAATCTAAACATCGGTGATCTTTATGTGAAGGTAACAGTGAGTTAATGGCCTTCTTGTTTGAGGCGTGGTCGAATTACTCGATTTGCTCGGTCGTGGCGTGATATTTAAACCCACTTATAGATTGCCTATAGAAGCGGGAGCAGAGATCGCTTGCTTGGTATCGAGGTAGTACGTCGCATTGTGTTGATGATATATAATCCTCCTTCTATGTATTCCTTTTCTTCTGCGATAGGTTCCCATACTACAAGGCAGGATATAAATCAAGATACTGATAGTAGATGGCACCGACAAACATTTCACATATATATCTATAGTTTTGAGTAATGGAGAACTACCCACTTTGAAAGAGACAAGCTTAATCAAGAGCTCTTCACCTCTTTATCCATCAACACCCCAACCACCTTTTTGACAGATTCCCTCGCCAGCATGGCTTCCTGCCAGCGTGTGAAATGAGGAAACTCCTCGGCACGCCACGCCTGATCGCCTTCACGACCGGCCATGAAGAACGCAATCTGCATATTCCACATGACGAACGCCAGGTCTGCGTACGTGCACTTGTCGCCCACGAGCCAATCGCGCTCCTTTAAAACAGAGTCTAACACGCCCGCTACTCGCTTGACCTCGGCACCGTAGCGCACCTTGGCACTTTCGGGGGATTCACCATAGATTTTCTCATGGAAGATATTGAACCTATCGATTGGTACATGTTATGTCAGAGGCTCGAGAATTGGGCGCAGAAAGCTGGGCAGCATAATTTAACTCACCATGCAGATTGTCCAAAGTACGGACCCTGTCCTGATGCCTGGAAGTAAGACCACTGGATCAATTGATATTGTTCCGGGAATGTATCGTAGGAAATCTTGTGGTCTTTGTCGTAGGTATCGATGAGGTACTGGACAATGGCACCTGATTCCCAGAGGGTAAGACCTGTGTTGGGGTCGATGATAGCTATCAATCGATATTCATCAGGACCTGCAGTAATAATGGCGTGTTGTGGAAAAACGAATATATTATACATACCAGGAACCCGGCCGTTAGGGTTCACATCGGTGAAGGGCTTGGTCTTCAGTCCGTCGAGTTCAACCCATGAGGACTCATATGGGAGGTGAAGTTCCTCGAGGATGATGAGGACCTTGGAGGGGTTGGGTACTTGGTCTGGATTTTGTTTTTCCGCTTCTTAGCATTGCTTTATCGGGACGGTAAGTTAGGAAGACGCAACATACTTCGCCAGAATAGCTTGATGGGCTGCAAAGACGTCATGTTGGAACTGCTGGATTCTATTTGTCGTTTTCGTTTCGGGAATTGAGGGTTGAGGGCGCTTGTAATTGAGAGTGAGATTAATCGCAACGAGGGCGTTGCGAGGAACAAGGGCTATTATGTGTAAAAGGGGAGGCTGCACTGGTTGCCAAAAAGACGACTATACCGAGTGGTGGAGCAGATGTTTACACTAACGCATCAGAAGCACTTTAGCTCGAGATAGAGGGGTTACATCGCCACAATTCTTTGTTCCAACAGCAGATATGGGAGGATCGGTCCAGGAATTTCCCGCCCGACGCACAGATGGGCTTGCGGACCGAGATCCTTAGCAGATCCGGACATACTATACGCAAAAGACACAGCCAGGAATGAGATGAACCCAGGTGTGGTGGTAGGACGGTACCTAATTTGCCTTGTCTCGATCAATCTAGGGCGAGGTACCCCTGGCACCATAGAGCTGCAACTAGCCTGATTAGGCAGGTATATTACATGAACCGTGATTTCAGGTGCGGAGTGGGATGTTATCTAGATACTAACGAGCCTGTCATGTCTGAGTCGCTTTTAATTAGCTACCAGTCGCAGGCCCGTGCGGCAAATAGAACCAATTTGCCCTCGGCTTGGGCTCTCAGAACGAGAACCACACAGGGTATGTGGGTCCCTTGGTTCTGGGGCGCTGTTTGTCCTGAACCTACTGTGGCATGCCCTGTGTGAAGTGTGAAACACGGCGTAGTTAAGGGACATGCCTAGTGCTTATTGTGGGGGCCACATCAATTTCTTGTTTCCATTCAACCCCCGGATCTTATTTAGTGTCAGCGAACTAGTATGCTTAGCCCTCATACTAGTTTCGAACGTAAACTCCGCCTCTCGCTAATAATGTTGCGATCGTTACCGAATATGCCCGGTGTACAGAGAGGCTGCCTCACCCCGTACTTTTCAGTTTCCTCGTCGGTTGTATGTGTCAATTTTGTTTTGTTCTCACCATCTCCCCGTCCAACACCCATCTCCTCCTCCACCCCAAGGCAATGGCTCTTTTCATCATTGCGGCCATCCTGCTTATCCTCGTAAGTACTCATCTCCAATTCCCGGTAATTATGCAAGTCAACTTAACTAGAAAGTCAGTATCTCACCACCCTCATCATTTATAATCTCTTTCTTCATCCTCTAGCCCGCTACCCCGGCCCTACCCTCTGGCGTGCATTCCGTTTCCCCTTCATAATCACTAATATCAGCGGCCAACTTCCTCATCGTATACATGACTTTCACACCCAATATGGCGATATTGTCCGTGTTGCACCTGATGAACTCTCGTTCATAGATCCGCGCGCCTGGCGGGACATCTACACCTCAGACCGTGAATTTGTCCGCCCGCATCAATACAAAGACCAACCTCCCGGCAAGACAGCACCAAATCTAATTGCCTGCTCGGAGGCTGACCATGCCCGCCTTCGCAAGAACCTGGCACCAGGCTTTTCAGAGAAATTCGCTGCCCTCCAGGAACCAATACTTCAGAAGTACATCGATACACTTTTTGCTAAGCTGGACGCAAAGATTACGAGCAGTGGGGGCGACAGTGCCACCCAGAGTGCTGATTTCGACCTAGTAGAATGGATTAATTATCTCGCCTTCGACGTGATAGGTGATCTCACCTGGGGTAGCTCATTTGGGTGCCTTGAGGGTCTGCGGTACCATCCCTGGGTGCAAACAGTTAGCCAGTTCAAAGCTGCCATTGTCGTTGGGTCGATGAAATTCTATCCCCTGCTTTATCGTTTCATGATGGCCATCACCCCAGCGGATGCCCTGAAGCCAGTTATGGAGATGTGGAAAGTCACGGATGAAAAGGTGGCGGAGCGAGTAGCCACCACTACTTCTAGTACTGCCACGCGACCAGACTTCGTGGGAATAATGATGGCATCGGGCGCCATGACGCAGGAGGAGATGGAAGTAAACTCCATGCTGATCATCGCAGCGGGGAGTGAGTCAATTACGACCATTATCACGGGTGTCGTCAATTATCTTCTGCGGGACCAGAGGACCCTCCGTGAATTGGTAGACCTGCTCCACGACACCTTCGCTACGGAAAATGATATTACATCCACCCGTCTTAAATCTCTCTCATATCTCGACGCAGTTTTGATGGAGGGCATGCGTCTATGCCCAACTATTCCAGATGCCATGCGAAGACAGGTCCCGAGGGGTGGAGCCAGGGTGGCCGGGCAATTTGTACCAGAAGGGATGATTGTCTCAATCCCTCCGTTTGCGAGTTACCGCGCACCCCGCAATTTCACTGGGCCGGGTGAGTTTGCCCCGAGACGGTGGCTGGGAGAAGATATGAGCAAGCAGAAGGAAGCTTTCAATCCATTTTCACTGGGGTCGCATAATTGCCCTGGCCAGAATTTGGCTTGGATGGAGCTACGGCTCATTTTGGCACGGTTGTTGTGGAGGTATGATTTGGCGGGGGTGGATGTGCCGGCCTGGGAGAAACAAGGGATTTGGTGGTTTTGGGATAAGAAACCTCTTGTGGTGAAGATTAGAAAGGCTCAATAGGGTTGTTAATGTGATGGATAAGATCACTGGCTACGATTCGATCATATCAGATCGGCTTGTTATCCGCTACGTCGCCGAGTTCATGCTGCAAACACGTTTTATCATGCACCTCAATCAGACCCGGATATACCTGACCAAAGCCTGGAACACGTAGCCTCGGGACCGTGGCGATAGATGCGAAGATGCTAGATAGAATAAAATAGATTTCTCCTTAAGACAGCAGGGAAAGACACACATCACAGAAGAAACAAATATATTAGAAGCAAGAGTATGGACAAATGATGGAGAGAAGTAGTAAGTCACAAATAGCTGGCTCGACAGGTGACTGGATAAATGCGAAACTCACAGGTACTTTTAGTTTTACCTTTCGTCTTCTTTCACTTTGCTTTGTAGTATATTTAGCTGTGTTGAGCTACAGCGATCACTGCTACATCGTACCTTGCGTTAGTGCGAAATTCGAGAAATTTGACAGCATTACGGGCATGATTATTTTCTTCAAGCAGTTAAGAACCACCACAAAATTCCGTCATACCACCTCATATGATGATGTTACTTGACAAGTAATGACAACATCATCACGGGTCCATGGTAACTATTTCCGCCGACGCATTCACCGGTCATTTGCAATCCCCTCTACCCAATAGAAGCTCTTGAATCTCCGAGATATTGGAAGAATCGCCAAAATCCCCTTTGATCCTCTGGCCAATAGCGACGCGTCGCTCTAATGTGTGGGACGCGACTTGTGGATGTGAGGAAAAATGGGGTAATTGAAAGGAAAAGAAGGATACGGTGGATGCTACGTCAAGTGTTGATCATCTAGGTGAATGTATACTCGGCTGCAGTACTTATATACAATATAGGACAAGGAGCTTTTCCATCGGTGCCCTTCTTCAAGTCCTAGTCAGACATGTCTGGCTATATTCCCGGTATCCATTCCGCCCTAGCCCTGTATGGTATTGAGGACTTAAGCTTGCTTAAACAAGGGCAGGTGGATAAAGAGTGACATAGACACGAGCGGGTATGAGAGCGGCTCCCCATTCTCCTTCCGTGCAGACGCAAATTATGCGCTAAATGCTTTAACATATCTGAGGATCCAAAATAACTAAGAGGCCAATAGCAATTATAACCCTTTTGTCGCTTCTTACTTCTTATCACCGCCCAAAGACAAAACGGCTCTCCTATCGCCAGCAAAACCATAACAAAACTCATACTTTTGTCTAGCATGTGTTGATAATCCTGGATACTTACTATAAGGTGGACAATTATCGCATCAGAGAATGGCCCCAACGAACAGGGAGGTGAAAATCATTTCTTAACACTGTTTGGAAACTGAGAAACATTGAGATATATTCCCCTTATGGATCATGTGTAGAACGCATGACACAACAACGTAGCGGCCTTCCAGAGAGCTAGTCTTAATACATGGGTATAAAAATGGTACAATTTCATGGCCCATTGATACCAGTCTTTGAGCATCAGACCACCTCCTGTGTTCTGATAGTGATTGAAACTGTGCCATTTAAGTCTTTGTGATCCAGCGTGTCCTCAATGATTAGGGCACTGTTGGTTCCAGAGTTGTTCGTGTTACCACCCAAATGAGTTTCATGAGTGCTGTTGACACCATTGGCATCACTGTCCACAACACTGCGAGCGCTGATAGGTTCATTGGAATCTGGTGCCACTTCGTTTGTGGAGACTTTGTTGAGGGGAGTGGCTAGCGCATCGTCATTGCTGTTCTCGCACTGATGGCCTTCGGGATCCAACCGACATAAGAGCTCCTGGGGAAGCTTTTGCACGACAACTTCCACCAAGTCCACGATGGAGGCGCCACCGAGAATCTTCATGACCGGCACATCCACTGCGAGCTCCTTCAAGAACCAAGACCTTACTTCTACCGCCACCAGACTGTCGACACCCATATCTACAAGTGGCGTGGTGTCGTACAAACTGTCGGAATCCGACACAAATTTCAACGCTTGCAGCTTTCCTTTAAAGGCACCTGAAAGAGATTGTTAGAGATTGTATTCACCGGGGTATATCGAGTTGAGCTAGATTTGACTTACAGGAAAGTACCTTTGCTGCGTCTTGTATCGTCGTGGCCGCTTCTAGCAGCTGTCGGAGAGGAACTGCGTTCCCCTTCTCTCCACCCTGTGTTTCTCCGTGTCCTACCTCCCTGATTAACAGCGATAACCTGGCATTGGTCTTCCAGTATGCATCCTTCGACTGCTCAACGGTTATGGGTGATAGACCGGTAATGATCTCCGGGTTGCGACCGAGGCTTGGCCGTCCAGACAGGATCGCCTCTGCAAATAACTGGTGCAGGTCGTTCTCACTCATCGCAATAACCCCCGACCGCGTAGTCAAACGCTCTTGGTACTCCTTTGTCAGGCGACCATGACTTTCACGCTCAATGAAGCCCAGACCGACTAGCCGAGTGATGTCAATGACCGATCCAGCTAGGCCTTGTTTGCGGCGCCAGTCGACAAGGCCCTTGATGAAGGAATTTCCGGCCGTGTATGCAGACTGTCCTGGGTTACCCACGGTAGCAGCAACTGAGCTAAAACCGATAAACCAGTCAAGGGGATGTTTAGGATTAGAAAAGAGCCGATCGAGGTTAACCGTGCCTAGGACCTTGGGTCCCAAGACTGCTTGGAAATCATCGAAGCTCATGTTCATGAAGGAACTGTCTCGAAGAACCATGGCGCCGTTCGCAACGCCCCCAATTGGAGGCATCGAGTCCTTGATGGTGTCGCGAATCTGTCTCATTGATTCGAAACTAGTGATATCCCTAAGCGATTCAATGTGGTTAGCAGAGTTAGGCCCCAACTGATAGGTACGTCCCTTACCCTGCAAAATATTTAACTGTGGCACCTCTTGTCTTGTGCCATTGCACCCAGTCCTCATCAACAATTGGATTACGACTGCTTAGGACAACATTCCGGGCATTATGGGCGACCATAAAGTCGGCCAGGGACCGGCCAGTGTCTCCGGCAAGACCGGCCAGCCAATAGGTGCGATCAGGACGGAACAGATCACCACGTTGTAGAACTGGCTGAACAGAGACCGGTACGTATTGATCCTCTCTCCAATAAACAAGTGAACTGGGATTGGGCTTCACGAAGTTTGCAACGACCCGGCTCAATGGCAAGATGTCAAGTGGTGCGCCCTCGGGAGTTGCTTGTGCGGATAGCAAGGAGGAAGCGAAAGAGGCGACGCGACAAAGCAGATCCGTTATGGCTTTAGGTGCATCATGCGGAAGCCTACATGCTTCCGATGCAGTTAGGCTAGACATACTAACCTTGTGACAAACCGATGTTAGGGAGTTTCCAATCTTGGACCCGAGGCTTTGGAAACTGGAATCCTCAGCCCCCGAGGCGTCGATATATAAAGTAATGTCGGATGGTAGGAGAGCATTTATGGTTCGCTGCGTGCTGTTTGGATGAAGGTATACCCAGTTTCTGGCGGACATCTCAGGACTACAAGTGAGAAACAGAGCCTTCCTGCCGAGCCTACTCAACTGCTGGGATAACAATGATGCGGCAACCGGATCTGGCTCGAATGCCAGTACAGTTCCTGTGGGCGGCAGCATGTGTATTACCCACTGGACTGTGAGGTCTGCAATGACATATGACATGAATTGTCCATCAACCTCGACCTCACCAATTGATATCGTCCAGGACTTGGGGACCTTGATGATGGATTCATTGCGACTGGAGAAATAAAGTGTCTTTTCCCCTGTCTCTACGTCTTCACCAAGACCAACGAATACATATCCAACTGGGGTCTTTATTGACGACAAGAAAGAGCACGACACAGCAACAGTAACATGGTCGATCAAGTCTGTCTCCATGAGATGCTGTTCCCGTACCACGTAGGATCCATCGACGAAATCTAGAACCAGGGGTGTCGTATCAACATCCATAATCTGGCTGATCGCTCGCTTGGACGAGTTGTATCTGTTGTTCTGCTCAGCATGCGGGCGCACCCTTGGGACATGAAGCTGGTGATTCTTGAGTACCAGTTCAGGTTCGAACTCCCAGAGTAACTCATCCGTCTGACCCCGTCTGGCTAGGTCGGACTGAAGCTTGAGCTGGCACACCGACGTTGCGATTATTGAACAATCATGCATATCGACTGCTTCAATATCTAGGGTCTGTAATAAGGTCCCCGGGACCTCATAAAAAAGCGTCCTGAAAAGACCAAGTGTGGTACCGGCATGAGGATTGTTTGAACGACGTTCTTTCAGCAGCCACAAAACACTCAATGCGGACGCCAGAACAAGCTTAAGGTTCGAAAAGACAGACTCCTTCAAGTCTTCAAACAAGTTTGTGTCACACTCAGTCAGACTTAGGACGTGGAAGTTCTCAGGGAGCGGCGGTAAATCAGCTGCCAGGTCGACTTTGATAATATCCGTAAACTGTGGCCTCAGGCGGAGACAGAGCTGGTCCCTGAATGGCGATACAAGGGGGCTGCTACCACCTAAAACCAGTAGTGGAGCCTTGTCTGTCACTGTATTGGGCTTGGAGCTAAGAGGCCTGCTCAATCGGCTGATGAGATCATTTTGAGCCCGAGAAACAATGATAGATCCGGGCACGCCCACAGGGTCCCGCAATGGGGAATTGGTCTCGATACCAGTGAAGCCTGTCTCTCGAAGGATAGTATCCCATTCACCCAACGTAATGCTCGGGCCTCCGTAGCGACCATCATTCTCGCCGATCCACCACCCCGGGAGACCACCCATGACAAGACCGTGGCGCATCACGTCGTTACGAATGATCTCAACCATTACAAGGTAACCACCAGGCCGCAGGAGCTTTCTAGTATGTTCAAGGGCGTTTTTCAACGACTCAGTTGCATGTAAGACATTAGAGGCAATGACAACGTCGTAGCTCTGGGGTTTGAAGTCCTGTGCCGCGGGGTCCTTTGTAATGTCTAATGTCTTGAAGATCATTTTGCCGACGTGCGATTGGAAGTTGTCTGCAGCATGACCGAAAAAGGCACTAGAGATATCTGTGTATGTATAGGAAGCATACGAATTCCCAATCTTTTCCAGGATGGCCTTGGTAGCGCCCCCAGTTCCGGCGCCAACTTCAAGGAAGTTCATTCGGGGCGACTTCAGGCAAAGTTGGTCCATCACTCCGGCGATCAAGAAGTTCAGCAACTGGAACCCAATGGCATTCACATAATACTGCTCAAGATAATTGTCTTTAGTCATGTATTGCAGGATGCTGGTCTCTCCATTAAGCACTGAAGGCTGAAGAAGATGTTCCCCAACTGCCTTGGTCAGGTTGAAATCGGCATCTGTTGGGGGATAACTGTTCATCATAATAAAGATATCGTCACGGGTATCATTCAACCAGGATCGCGGGGCGAAGGGATGTCTCCCGTCATTGACAATATGAAACAGCCTCTCAGCATTTTTGAGCAAAGCCTGTCGATACCAAGGGAGGGTTTCGCGTTCTTCAGGGCTGACAGACAGATGGAATGTCTTCAGGTAGTAGAACGCCGCGCGCTCAGCGTCGAGGGCTTTCCTACTCTCCTCGGGAGTCGCTTGTCTATCCCCAAATATAATATCGGCGTTTGGCTTATCAAGGCACAGGAATGATTCCTGAAAGAGATATCGATCGTCTTCTGCAGTCGCCCCGGCAAACGGGGAGAATGTGAGCCCCTCAACCTCGATGATCTTCTCCTTGAAGCCCTCTGAGAAGACCTCCACATCACCAGTAACATGAGTATCCCGGGGATCAGTAATGGTACAGTCAATTTCGACACTGTCTGTCATGTTCCTGCCGCAATATCCTGGAATGATCGAGATTCGACGGCAGAAGGTCGGCGCCACAATCGCCCAAAGACGGCCATCTCCAGGGGCACTATGAGCGGCATTTAGGCCCTGCAAAGCACTATCAAGCATACCGGGATGGAAAAGTAGAGGTGTTTCGGAATCGCCAAAGCCTTCGCACCGGATTGTTCCCGTCGCGAATCCTGCTTTGCGGGATACATTGGAGAGCGCGCGGAAGGGACCCTCATATCCGAACCCAAAATCATCTCTTAGGATCTTGTAGAAGGTTTCCACATCTACTGCGGTGAGCTTTCCAAGTGGGGGAGATCTAGGTGAGAAGTGAGATCTTGAATCCTCACCCTCCCCAAGCAGGAGCCGAACGCGACCGCAGCAGTTGAGTGCAAGATTCGCGGCGTCTTTGCTTATGGTTGAGTAGGCCGCAAAGTCGGCAGTAATTACTGACGAGTCTGTGTCGACGGTAGACACCTTGGTCATTGACGTGAGGAGCTCAGTGCCCGTTGAGTCATGAATCGCGATGGCCTTGCGAATTTCAAGGTCGAAGAGGTCAATTGTTTGTACTGGTCTTCCTTGTGCCAATTGCAGTGCTGCTTCCATGGCGAGACAAATATAAGCTGTTGCAGGAAAGACGACCTGGCCTTGTAGCGAGTGTCCTGACAGCCACTGGAGCTCATCCATCTTCAAGATATTGCGCCACCGCCATTCCTCCGTTGCACCATCGGCCGTTTGAATACCTAGTAAGTCATGAAATGGCACTGGATGGCTGTGGAAGGTTTTAATGAGTCTCGATTCGGCGAAGTATCCCCTGTCATGAGTCCATTGGTAAGCGGGGAGACCGCGGATCATCCCAGTTGGCGTATCCGGGAAATTGATCTGCTGGAAAGCTCCAAGCTTCACAAAGGTCGGGCCAAACAGACCCCAAAGAAACCCAAGTGCCTCTGAAAATGCCACTGCACTAGACTCCCTGCTCAATGTGCCTGTATATGGGATTTCCTGCTTCACAGCCGCAAGAATGGAGTCCTTTACAGGACCCTGCAGAGCAGGATGTGGTCCAACCTCTACGCCACAGTTGATGACATGCTCCACAGCCTCATAGCTCAAGCTAGCTTCTACTGCCGGATAGAAAAGTACGGGCTGGACCATGTTATCAACCCAGTATTGGCCGTCCAGACCTTCCAGAGAACTGATGACCTGATCCTTCCGAACACTACTGAACCACAGTGGTGCACTCAGCTCAGGTTGTTGGACTTGTATATTGCAGCTTTTCAATGCGGCAAGGTACGGCGTAGCGCACTTGAACATGTGAGCCGAGTGGTACGCGTTATCAACCTTCAGGACTCGGGCGAATTTCTCCTCCTCTTCAAGCACCGCCTGTGCCTGGGTAATGGCGTCAAGATCCCCCGAGAGAGTCACGCTGGTAGGGGAGTTATGGGCAGCCACGCATATCCTTCCGTTGAAGTCATCAAGCTGGCAAAGCTCACTGGCATCTTCGTAAGTCGTCCCAGCTGCCAGTATTGCACCCTTTTCTCCCATAGGCCCGGCTGCTAATTTAGCATAGAATCCCCGGTAGTATGCGATACGAATGGCATCCCATGCGGTAATAAAGCCCGCCGCGTACGCAGCAGCTGTTTCTCCTGACGAATGTCCAACAACGGCCCGAAACTTGATTCCTGCAGCTTGCAAAAGATCAACCATGATGATCTGGACCGCAGTGCAGAGAGGTTGAGAAAGAGAGGCTTCACCAATAGACATAGTACCGTCGGTCAGTGCATCTAGTATAGTCCAGGATGGGCGGTGATAGGAAGGTAAGCTTGAGAGGGAGAGATCCAGTTTTTCGACGGTTATACGGGCCAGTGGGATCGATGATATAAGCTGGGAACCCATTCCTTGCCACTGAGCTCCCTGGCCAGTGAAAACGCCGAGCAATGAAGCAGTTCCAGGTAAGTTTGAAATTGAAATTGAGGGTATATTGATGTCTTCTTTCGAAGGAGTTTCCAATGTGGCTCTGATTTTTCCACGAAGATCATCAATAGAAGCAGCAGACAATGCGAGCCTGCGCGGGAGGGCAGATCGTTTACTGGCCATGTGGTATGCCAGCTGACAGATGTTGACTTCTGTGTTATCGTCCAGGTATGCCAATGTAGCGTGGAGGAGATCTTTCAAAGATAGATCGGATGCTGCAGAGAAAACGGTGGGGATACAGCATGGCGTTGGCAAGGCCCCCTCTGGTGCTGGGGCAGGGTCAGTAAAGCGCGGACCACCGTATGTTTCTAAAATGCAATGCGCGTTGGTTCCTCCGAAGCCGAAGCTGTTGACGCTGTTCATGGTTAATTAGCATCTTGCTTTACCCTTCAGCAAGTTATCCAGGGCTAACTAACCTAGCCCTTCGGGGTACGCCATACGGCAGTTTAGGCCAGGAGTGACTGGCTGTCGGAACATGAAGGTGGCTTGTGAAAGGTTCAAGGTCGGGGTTCAATTTGTTGAACAGTAGATTAGGGGGAATTGTTGCATGGCGAAGAGCGAGGCAAGCCTTCATGAGCCCTGCCAACCCTGCTGTGCCCTCAGTGTGGCCGACCACCGTCTTGATAGACCCGACGAAAAGTTCACCCTTTGTATCACTTTCGGGGAAAAAAGCCCGCATCAGGGCTTCTGCCTCTTGGGGATCTCTTAGAAAGGTGCGTTAGTGACTCTAGTGACAGGTTAATACAGAGCTATGCGGTTCAACCTACCCAGCTTTAGTTCCTGTGCCATGTGCTTCGAAGTACTGACACCGATCTTCCTCCTTCGTAGGGTCTAACCCAGCGCGAGCATAAGTATCTCTAATGAGGGCCGCCTGTGCCGTAGCACTGGGCATCGTCAAACCCTTCGTTCTCCCATCGTGGTTCACACCTATTTCTCGAATGACGGCTTCTATCTGGTCGCCGTCTGCAATTGCATCACGTAGTGTTTTGAGAACAACGCAAGCAACGCCTTCGCCTCGGGCGTAGCCATCTGCGTCTACATCCCACATGTGACATCTAGAGGTCGGCGATAACATACTCAGTTTACTCAATGTAATGAACGTAAATGCCGACAAACACAGGTTGGTTCCGCATGCTAATGCAACGCGACTGGTACCGTTCCGAAGGGCCTGGACTGCTTCATTCACGGCAACCAGGCTTGATGAGCAGGCGGTGTCTATTGTCATAGATGGGCCATGCCAATTGAAGAAGTAAGAGAGTCGGCTGGAGGCATTACTGGCCGCCGTTCCAGACGCAGCATATGTCGGCACCGCATTCACATCCTGTCCATTGAGCGCAAAGTAATCCTGGGACATGAGGCCGACAAAGACCCCTGTGTTCGTGTTTGACAGTTGGGCGATTGTATGACCTGAGGATTCGAGGGCCTCATAAGCCACTTCGAGAAGGAGGCGTTGCTGCGGGTCAATCGCCTCGGCTTCACCAGGGGGTATGGAGAAAAACTTTGCGTCAAACTCGCGCACGTCTTCTGTGAGCAGATAGGCCTGGCGGATGTTGGTGGTCCCGTGGTGACTGCCGGTTGGGTGGTAGAAGCGGCCGAGGTTGAATCGAGTAGTGGGGATGTCGCGGGCAACGTCGCGCGGGTTGGACAGGAGGTTCCAGAGCTTGGAGGGAGTGCTGGCTTCGCCTGGGAAGCGGCATCCCATTCCCACAATTGCAATGGGTTCATTACCACTTGGACTCATTGTGTGAGTATGAACGTATCTGAGCTGGGTGAAGGAGTGGAGATGGGTTGAAAATAAAGACTTATGTTCACGGAAATTGGAGTTGAATCCTGCGTTCTTGTTGCAAATTCCGTTTCCATGATCACCTTCCTATATATACAATATAACAGCATCTCATGTGTCGACCAGATGTGTTGCGGTCCTGCGACCTCTAGCTCAATGTACACCGTGCCCGGGCATAAGGGGCGGAACTGTGGTCAACGCCGGCTACAGCCCGTGAGGCCGGAGGCCAGCCCCGGATGGTGCATGGAAGGACCGGCAACTTAACCTGGCCTTCAAAACTCTCCGGTTCGAACCAAATGGCCAAATTTTTGCTTGGCTATGATGGTAGAAAGGTGTTTCCGACCTCATGTCTATCTCAACGGCAGACATCATGTTGCATCTAACTCGAGGTAGCCATTTCACTTATTAAGTCTTAACACGTTCCGCATGACAGACTTTGTAGTGATTCTTGTCTTGTTCTGGTTGCAGATCAACCCTCCTCTTTACACTTTCAGTACCCTGTCATAACATGTCTGGGCTACCGTCCAATCAAACAGCTATCGTCGCTCTCGACGATGGCACACTTGCCCTACGCGACGGTATCCCCATCCCGTCACTGGAAGAGGATATGATACTAATTAAGAATGCATTTGTTGCCCTGAATCCAATCGACACCAAAATGGTCGGCAAGCTTGCAAGCGCGGGCGCAATTGCTGGAATGGATTTCGCAGGTGAAGTCATTCGCATTGGTTCCAATGTCCGAACATCCGCGTCTATCAAACCAGGAGACCAGGTCTGCGGTGCAGTGCCAGGGATGCACTCTCTCACTCCATTGGTAGGCGCCTTTGCGCAGTATGTTGGCGCGACAGACCTTACTGTTCTCAAGGTCCCGGATCATATGTCGCTTGAACAAGCGGCAACTCTGGGCAGTGGCATTGGGACTGTAGGGCTTGCCTTGTTCAAGTCGCTTAATGTTCCTGGTTGGCCTGGCCTGCCAGCTGAGAAACCGGTGGATGTGTTAGTTTATGGTGGGAGTACAGCAACAGGGACTCTGGCCATACAGTTCCTAAAATTGTACGTGCCAAGCCATTCTCTTTCGTGGATCTACTTTCCGACACACTGACTCAAAATCACAGATCAGGACTGAATGTAATCACAACCTGCTCACCCAGAAACTATGATCTGGTGAGATCCTTTGGTGCCACCGCAGCTTTCGACTATCACCAGGAGACATGCGTAGATGAAATCCGCAAACACACTCGAAATTCACTCAAATTTGTCCTTGACTGCATTTCAGAGCCAGAAACGATGCAATTCTGCTATAAATGCCTCGGACGGTCTGGCGGCAAATACACCGCATTGGAACCCTACCCTGAATTCTTGCATACACGGCCAAAGACGGTTGTGCCAGACTGGGTACTTGGACCGAAGGTGATGGGGAAAAGGCTCGGTTGGCCAGAGCCTTTCGGTGGAGAGGGTAGTGAAGAGTATAGGGAGTTTGGCTTCAAATGGTTCAAACAAGTCCAAGAGTTGCTGGAGGAAGGAAAGTTGAAGACGCATCCGTACAGGATAGTTGGAAACAGCCTCGGTGAGATATTTGGGGGTCTCCGACTTCTCAAGGAAAAGCAAGTATCCGGTCAGAAGCTTGTGTGTCGGGTTTGATCAAAATCTGCTTCCTTTCTATCACTTTAGGATATTAGGTTACAACACGTGGAATGTTAAACGAGGCGTGGGGTGGAACGATATAAACGTTCTGCCTGTTAGTTTCGTTCTCTGCACTATCTACTTTGTCGAGGGGTCTCCTTCGTTCTACGGACAATCAATCATCTTCATCGTCCTTTTGAAGCCAACGTAAACCTTAGCCAAAAGCAAGGTAAAATAAGTCGGCGACATCCAAGTGGAACAAAAAGGCGTATGTCGCCAATTCCTTGTGTCTTTATAGCGAACTAACGGTGAAGGCATACATTCCCGGTAGAATTGAGAACGTCGTAGCCCATTGATGGTCAATTCATCGTACGTCTACGCGGTGATATCCTTTACGGACGCTGTGAGCTCGTCACTAGACAGTGTTGATTTTGCTCTCCGTTATTTACGGGCAATCTGTCGCTCAGGCTAGAGCAGTCTCATTGGTGCCGACCTAGTTATGTTAGTAATTGCTATCCTCCTTCCCAACCGACCGGTTTCTTCTTTTATCTACGAAGAAGTCGCCGGTCGTCATACGCTTAACTCCGGTGGGGTTAGCACGCTGCCAGTATCTCAAATTCGAAACATCTCTTATAACCGGAGTCTCTGATGAGATGTCACACCTTTGCTTCAGAAAACCGAGTGAAAGAGCTGGCACGGTTAACTTTCAACCAATCATTCTTGTGGTCGATGGCCAAAATGATCTCTTTCCTTGAGTTCTGGCTATGTACGCTTTCCCTAACCTCCGGTGGGATTGTCCACCAAGCCTTCACAGAGGGACAGCATATAGCGCTGCTCTTCCAAGTGCTGGGAGGGCATATCGTTACAGTCATTGGCTTTGCTATCTATTGGATGGTGCTCTACCCCCAATATTTTACCCCCTTCAGCAACATCCCTACTCCTTCAGTACGTATATCTAATCTCTGTAGGACATATTTGAGAAAATCATGTCAACTCACAAGCACTAGAATCGAAGCATCCTTACTGGAAATTACCCCGTTCTCTTCCCCGACAATGCTTGGATTCCTCTCAGGAAACTCGCAGAAACTACCGCCAATAAAGGTCTCCTCCGAATCTATTCGGCATTGAGCGGCGAGGCTCTCCTGGTTACAAGCCCACCAGCGATCAGAGACATGCTCACAATAAATGCCTTTGACTTTGCGCACCAAGACTTAGTGAAAATCGCTATCAAGCGCTTCACCGGTAGCAATCTGGGTTTCCTCAGCAATGACGACTTCAAGGTATGTGTAAATAGCCACTGTTCTCCTTGCTCCCTCCCAGACCGTGGTTGACAAGAGAGGACAACAAAGCTCCACCGGAAGAACATGATGCCTGCATTCGCGGTCCCGCACGTCCGTGAACTAACCAGCATCTTCTGGCACAAAGCTCAAGAAATGGTACACTGCATGTCAAGCGACCTGCGCGCAGATCCTTCAGCCCCGATCAATTTCCGTGAATATGTGTCTCGGGCAACACTCGACAATATCGGTCTGGCGGGCATGGGCCACGATTTTCAGACCCTCCAGCAGCCTGATAATGACCTTCGCAACCACTACAGGAAGCTAATTCTCGATCCGACGCGCGTATTTAGCTGGGTGGGACTGCTAAGTCATTACTTTGACATGAGGCTTCTGATGAGGTTGCCGCTGAAAAAATTGATTGAGATCTCACAATCCGCGAACTACCTTCGTTCTGTTACGAGGAAGGTCATCCAGGAGAGAAGCGCGAAGCTGGTTGGTTCTAACGATGGAAGAACCAAGGATATCATCACAATCGCTCTGGCAAGCGGTGTGTTCGAAGAACGTCATCTGGTTGACCATGTCATGACCTTCCTAACCGCCGGACACGAGTCCACAGCTACAGCCTTTGAATGGACGATGTACGAACTAGGACGCCGGCCCGAGATGCAGAGACGGTTACGAGAGGAGCTAAGAGCATCTATAGGCAGTGATAATCTGGCAGCTGCGGATTTCAGATCCCGGGTTCAAAATTTGCCCTATCTGAATGCATTCTGCAGTGAGGTGCTCCGCTGCTACCCGTTCTCTCCGATCATTGTGAAGGTTGCACAGCAAGATACTACAGTTATGAACCATCCAATACGCAAGGGCACGGTGGTGCTGTATTCAGCTGAAGTCTCGAATCATGACAAGAAGCTTTGGGGACCTGATGCGGATCAATTCAATCCGGAGCGGTGGATGGGCGAAGGGACAGCGAAGTCTGGTGGTTCTTCTAGTAATTATGCGATGCTTACGTTTGGTGCAGGGCCACGCAACTGCATTGGGGCAAACTTTGCTAGAGCCACGCTTGAGTGCCTTGTAGCAGCGGTGGTTATTACATTCAAGATTGACCTTGCGAATCCTCAAACAGCAGGGAGGTTGAAGTTTGGGCAGACCAAAAAGTCAGCGGAAGGGGTTTACGGAAAGCTTACGTTGGTGCGACCGGTAGAAGCTTAACTACTCAGATATCGTTACAGTATGCAGCTCGCTACAGCAGCCTCTGAAGTGTGAAATCAACCACCCTGCTAGGGTTACTGTTCCATTGTGAATTGTCGCCGTCTGTGTAGAAAGTCACCGGTTAGCGACAAAGAAAATATATTACGTACACCATAAGTAGGAGTACACTATTGCAAATGTTCTGCAACATCCAAATGTGCTATGATTATATCTGTCCAATAAAATGAACCTGTGGAAACTTTCAGTTGGCATCTTCGCCGCCGTCAAGTCTGTCTGGACACGCGGCAGCCCATTTGCCGCGCTCACGGCCCTATGGCCAACGAATGAGGAGAGCAAATTCATCATTCAATCCGAAGGCATTCGCCTTGCCTTTACAAATCACGGTGCAGCTGTTACGAACCTTTGGCTGAACAATACGTATGGCGAAGAAATCGACGTGGTATTGGGTATGGACGATGCGAGGGACTATCCGGCGCTGCAGTCAAATCCATTCTTGAATGGGGTTATTGGTATGTTGTCGAAGTCAATCTTTCACCTGGCTCATCTGATTACCCTTCCTCGTTTGTCGCATTTCAATACTAATTGGGCTGCATTTACCAATATAAGGTCGGTATTCAGGCTTCCTAAGCAACTCAAGCTACCCAGTCGATGGAACAATCTATCCCGTAACGGCAAATGCACACAACAACACCTCGCTATTCAACGGCGGATATAAAGGCTGGGGCCGGCAGACCTGGGATATTGCAGTGCATATCAATAACAGCATCACATTCGTGTTGTTCGACAACAGATGGAACGGATTTCCTGGGATATTTGCCTCGTGCGTGACACATACGGTTACGCCATACGAGTGGCGTATAGCCTTTGGGGTTACGCCTCTGCTAAAAGCGGGTCCAATCAACTTAAGTCAGCAAGTCTTCTTCAACCTTGATGGGTTTAAGACAATCAATGCCAGTATCAATGAAACCGATCATGGCATGGTTCTCGATCATCGGCTGAGGCTTCCCGTTGCTGGAATGCGTTTTGATGTGGATGAGCGAGGGATCCCAACAGGGGATTTGAAGAGTAATAGGGAAGGAACAGATTACGACTTTTGGTCTGCGGGAAAGACTATCGGCGAGGGGTTAAGAAATGGTCTTGCCGGATTAGACGTCACTTATGCTCTTTCCCACAAGCCGTCTGGCGACAAAGAGGATGAGCCTGTGGCCATACTCTCCTCGAACATTTCGGGTGTTACCATGGAGCTCTATACTGACCAAGATGCTCTTCATGTCATTACATGGGATCAAGATAGATTTGGTATTCACAATGTACTTCCTACGCTAATCTGGAGTGACTATTAACATCGTCTACAGGTAGCCTTCAGTTGAAGAAAGGTCAGGGGGCAGGTAATGTTCCTCGGCACGCGGCCATATCTTTAGAGATGCAAGACTGGCCAGACGCAGTGCATCATCCGGAATGGAGAAACAGGAAGACCATCTGGGGGATGGACGGATTGTATACCCGGTTTGCAACATATAAGTTTTCGGTAGCGGGGAAAGGAAATTGAATAGAGACATAGATATCATTGTGACAATGTTCGCTACAAAGCTATGGACGATAATAGAAGACAAACGAGAAAGTCCATTGCTGAGAATCAAACACACTATTAAACAGACACCATGGCAGGCGCGATATCGCCCGTAATCTCAAAACCAGCTGACACCGAGTTATACTCATCATTACAGTCCCGATCCCAATATTCCACCATAACCCTAGCAATACTCTGCACATCACCGGTCTTCACCGGAATCTCATGCCCCCCCTTAAACCTGACCACAGTCGCAAGTGTCTGATTAAAATACTGTTTCGACAACCTCGTCCCCTTCGCCGACCACGGATCTCCACTCCCCTGAACATGAACAGACATGATATCCAGCGGTCGCGAAACCCGTATCTCAGCAGCACTCAGCGGCAAAGAAGGACAAACCCCACAAATCATGATTGCAAACTTGATATGTTTCCTCAGCTCAGGGTCAAGACAGACCGCAGTAGCAACCCGTGTCCCCTGGCTGAACCCCATAACGCCCACTACCCCAGCCCCAGGCCCACTGGTTCCATTCTCATGATCAATAACACCCTTCAAAAAGCCCCGCACAATCCGGCGTTCCCGCTCGACGTCCTCGGCTGTGACGTCAAACAACCCAATCGTATTTCCGTCCTGATGCCATCGTCGGTAAGGTTTCATGTGCGCGTAGTAGGGTTGCACGCCGACTCCAGCCTGAGGAGTCTTGATGGGCGAATTGAGGAAGAGAAAGCGGAAGTGGGGGGATAAGGCTTGGGTGAGCTTCTGAGCTTGAGTCCGAAAGATCTCGCCGCTGCTGCCATGGCCGTGGAGGCATATTATGGCCGGTTTCGTGTCTGCATCCATTTGTGGTGGGTCTATGTAGAGCTAGGTTGTTGGTGGTGGTGGTGGTAGTAGCTTAGATAGCTTGGATACCTGGTTTTGCCGATGCTGGCCTCTAGGATGGCTCCTTGGCCTCTGAATTATCTGAGCGATCGGTGTCAAAAAGGAATTATTTCAGAAGACGCCGTGTCTCCTGTCGTCCCTTCAAACACCGGACGAAATATCTTAGACTATGTAGCCGGGCCTATGACTGATGCCCGGCTCCACCTTCAGAAACATACCGGACCGGCGACATTTGCTGCTAACTGCGAGACTACCTAGCCATTGAGTGAGGGGCCATTTTCTTCGGCCTTCCTGGGAATCCATATGATACCATAGACCGTAGGTGGCACTTCAGAGTTTCTTGTAATGTATCAAGTCAAGTATGAATGTAATGTCAAGTGAAATCCCGAAGCAAGTCTTCGTAGAATCATGAAGTTCTATATACAGGATACGTAACATACTATATGCCAGTTCTTATTCTATGTATTGGCCATAACCTGCGCCAATTTCTCGAGTAGTGATGCCTCCTTTTCGGAAACCATGTTCACAGCAGCTTGTATTGAACTATTTCCCGCCGAGGAAGACGGCCGCAAACCACTGTGTGGTGTTGCTACGCGCGGTGGTCCGTCCTGTTGCTGGTATCCTGGCATCAGAAGACTTATTGCATCACGCAGCTCATGGACCATGCTAGAAATCATATAAGCTCCAACAGATGTACTCATGGCAGATTGGGCGGGAAGTTTAAAAGAACCCATGCTAATGGGGCCCAAGTTCCCGGTCTGATTCATAAGACTATCCACGGCGAGGTCCAGCACCTGCAGGGCGCAGGCATACGATGTTGCGATTTGTAGGACAGTAATGTAGTTCACCCGTAGCGGGTCGAACAGTCTGCTTTTTTTTGGAGTCGACTCACAAATGCCACGGCAGTCATCGGGTTCTTCAGGATTCACACCGGTCGGGGTACATGATGTGCCGGTTCCAGTCCCACCATTGCTTGTGTTTTGGAGATCAGGTTCGGGACAACTGCCTGCAGAGACTGGAAGGAGCTCTAGTAAATCTTTACAGGCAACGAGGACCTCGTCAAGGGCCGGTTGGTTCTCCGCGTGAGGACCACTGGCGCATGCTAATAAGTTGCTCAGGTGGGACTGCAACCGTAAGAGCTCGTGTGCGCCGGCCGTCTTGTCGAAAGGGACCGTTTCTTTCTCGGAATCACCAAGGCCAGAGTCGGAGAAAACGGAAGTTTCTTTGGACACGTGTCGCATGCTCTCCATCTGCTGACATTCCTGGTGAGGGTATCCATGTTCTTGTCCATATCTACCGCCTCCCTGTGGGTCATCTTGGGCGACATACGCAAATTCCGGGGAGTAGAGCCTCATATCCCAGTGCAGGTTGTCACCAGGAATTGCTGGACACAATATTTAGTCCTTCATTCTAGTGCATGCAAAAGGCGTGGGGGGTCATGGGCCCTACCTTCCTGGAGGAGAACGGGATCTAGAAACCCTACCACTGGCTCAACACTGTCGGGGTTGCCAGAACTGGCACCACCAGATCTATTGTGTGCAGGTGCAGCTGCAGACGCCGGATCAACACGAGCAACAGGAATCTGCATTGCAGTAGCACCACGTGGGGTCTCGGCTTGGACAGCCCGTCGTTTGGCTTGTCTCGCATGGCTATTGCCATCGGAAGAGGCTCCCTTGTGGTTCTCAGACACCGGTCGTGGCAGTCGTGGTCGACCCATGCGCGCCGTGGTGTTGTAAACGCAGTCTATGTCGAGTCTCTCACACCGGTCGCACCGACCTTCGGGCCCACAGGTGCGAGTGCATCGATTCTTCAGCTCGTGGCAGCGGTCGCACGCCGCGCGGAGCTTGCGTTCACTGTTCATTATCTTGTGGTTGCAATGAGATCATCTACCTGATCATGAACGAAGTGTGTGGACAAAGCGTATTATGTTTTCTTAAATTGGCTGACACTGTGACCAAAAGATAACATTGGGGACCTGGTACACTTTAAGAGTTCAGTCAAATAGATACGTTAATGTCACAGGTCTCTTTAATCCATGTTCATTGTAGGGACTAGCTGGTACAGCCTTCTGATTAGCACATGGCCATCCAATTCGCTTAGACTGGACTTGTGTTGGGAGAAAATCCCCTGTTAGAGGGATGACAGGGGTTCGAATCCGTGGTGTTAGGAGTCCTCCGGTAGGACTAACTAGCTGTTCACTCGGTACTCCTAAGCTGATCTAGATTCTCGGCCGGTTGCCGCTTAATTGCACACTTCACTTCGGATGTTGGTAGATGTCAAGCCAGCCACTAGTACGAAAGTATAGAACCAGTCGATCTTGAAAGCGGCGGAAGGGCCCGGGCCTTGCCCATCCAACCATCCCCCCTCATCCTTATCTCGTAGTTCAAGTTGATTCCACTAGTTATGTAGTGGTTGGAGCGCCAACTAACAAATATCAATATAGTCTTTCGCAAGCACTCGGAGCCCCACATGGTACAAGCGGGCGAACAAGCTCTGTAACTCGGGCTTATTTCAACAAGGACCATCATGCCACTTATTCTAGCAAGTCTCAGGAGGCAACCGAGTGGTGATCTACTACTACTACATAAACTTGGCCATCTTTGTTCTGTATGTCTTGGGGGGTAACTTGGTAAACAGCCCTGAAGAGTATTTCCCGGGAACTTGATTTGATTCGTGCATTTGTCTTGTGTTCTCTTTTTGACTGTTCTTACCCGCTTTCGTCTCACCTCAGCAGTTTGCGTGGTAGCCTGAGAGGTGATTACAGATATGAACGCTGAATTGAGTTTGGTGGTGGTCCTCGAAGCGGGTCTGGCGACAGTAGCCAAAGCACATCATATCCTACTAGACTGAAAGGGCCACAGAGAATAAAATCTGTCGTAAATCTTTCTCCTATTTGCTGGTGCTAGGTCGAGAGTCTAATCCCAGACGGGCAATTTGTACCATGCGGTAGACTACAATCAAGTGGGGGCCAGAAAGTCATTGCCTAACCGCCCTATCCAGTCTATATTAAGTGCATGCTACTGACTGCTGCCCCAACAACTCATCTGATTTGACCAGTAAGAATCCCAATCGAGGCTACCGCCCACGGTGGCTTTGCAATAGTATTATCATCTACTGTCTACGGTAAACAAGGGTACCTAGGTAATCCTTCGGGGAAGTTCCGGCCAATCTGTTGAATTATTGCGGTTCGCAGATCGTTGGATCTCCCTTACCCCGCTTCGGGTGAGATGGCCCTAACTTCCCGTCCGTCGGAAGACACAAGGCCGTGGAAATTAACAGATATCTACTGCGTAAAGAATGCCAATCTTCTGAGTCCGCTCCGTACGTCATTCTCTTGGTTCTAAGAAACCGAGTTGAGGGCCCCCCTGCAAGCACTCATAACTCCGGGTGAACTCTTACATCTCAGCCTCTTCTGTGGCTTTGTGAGGGCTGTGCGTAATACAAAGTACACCCGTCCCCGTCCCCATCATCGCCAGATTGAAATAAGGATCAACGCTTGATCGTCCAAAGGGGTTGGTCCAAGTGGTGTGGCGAGGATGGTCCAGTGGGGCCGTTTGGCAATGCCATTGTCCCCGTTGTTTCATTGTCGCAGCTGCACATGGTCTTACCGGCGCAGTGAGAAGTCAGCGGGTAATGTCTTAAGGCTCTCATCTAGGCTTATTTTGTGTCGCCGTCTGCAGCCCCATGCCGGGTTCCTCAAATGCGGCCCATCACACGGAGACTATTCTATATGTCTCCTACTCACCGCTGCCGGGATGCAAAAGTCACCACCGGCCACATGAACTTATGAACAGAGCGATATAATATATCACCTGACATGCATGCAGAGAGCTACATTGGTAAATTTTCAATGAACCGGACGCTTAACGTATCATAATGCCCATTCCCCAAACCTTCGGAGCATGAACCAGGCTGTCGCATCCAGAATCACGTAGTGTGTTCCATCACTCAAAATGACAGTGACAAGTTGGTTATCCGTCCAGCAATTCCGTCCCCCTGGGGATGCAATAATAGAACCCGCTAACATGACAGCCGCGTGTTTTATCTGTTGACAGCAACCCCCGATGACTGGAAAAAGAAAGCATCCAGCTACAAATCCA